CACCAGGGGAATCGAGACTCTGTGCTCATGGACTAAGCGTGTTTGCTCTGGGGTTGTTAAAGGAGGACAAGCCCAGGACTTTTTTCACCCGTGCCCTGTGAGTTCCGTGTGTCGGGGGATGTCGTGCCCAAAACGCACCGCAAAAGCTTTGGGAAGTTCCCAGTGTGTTCTGGCAAGTGCAGGGGAGACCCGGTTGTGCCGGGTGCTGTACGAGCAGCAGGACCTGCTCAGAGCTTTGGGGAGACATTATTATCTTGATTTAACATCTGAGAGCTTCCACCCTGCGCTCGCCCGAGAGGGTAACGCAGGCTGCAAGGAATCAATCAGGGTTCGGTCACAGCATCCTCTGTCACAGCCCAAATCACCCCCCCCGTCCCCTCCTGCTTCCTTTTCCTTCCTTTCCACCTCAAAACCAAACCGCTCGTCCCTTCTGTCACGAGGATGTGCTGATGGCTCTGAACCACGCACCCGAGAGGAGTCTGTAACAGCTTCAGGAGCGCATCCGTGACGGCCAAAGGCAGGAAAGCAAAGACCCCAGCAGAAAAACCAGTGAACTGCAGTCACTGCTGTGACACCCAGGAGAGCCAGGCCAGCCGATGGCCTCCAGCCCACCCCAAACTCCCATGGACTCAGCACGAGCAAGACCTGACCCTGAGAACGGCTGCAGTTTGTTCTCTCTGCTGAAATTTATTTTAAAGGCTGTTTTCTGAGACCATTTCTGAAGCAATTTGCTGTTCAGCCTGGCTAGGAAGAGCCCTGAGCAGGCTCGTTCATTCAGCGCCTGCAATATTGACTCTTCTCTTTACTGCAGCATTAGAGAGCATTTGTCATCTCCAAAATGAATAACTTTCCCTCTCCTGGGAAGGGGGAGAAGGCTTGCTTCGGTACTGACATTTCACACACCCAACCCACAAACCTGCTTCGAATCCCAGATGATGCTCTGGGGATAAAACCAGGGGCTTCGGTGTCTTTGCTCTACCAGCAGAGCAGAGCCCACGACTCACCTGGTCCTTCCCACACACTAAATTTGCTGGAATTTCACATGGTCGGGGGGCAGAAAGGCCTGGGAGATGCTCTCAGGTACCAGCTACATCGCCACGTTACTGACGTACCCTCCAACACCATCTGCAAGTCTTACTCAAGTCCCTCAGGAACAAATCACAGCCTCTGTTCTCAAGCCAGAGGAGCACTTAAAAACCAGAAGAAAATCCAAAAAACTCCCCCAAAACCAGAGAAAAAAAAATCACTCAGCAGCACCAGAATAAGAAACCAGAAGGTCAGACTTGCCAACTCATTGTCTAGAGACCAACAAGGCCCTCCCTCCTGTCCTGGAGATCACAGTGTATTTAACATCTGCCTGTTTGCCTCTGCCTTTTGAGCTTTCAGAGGTGTTTTCAAGCCTTGCTCAGGAGGTCTAGGAATGCTTTCCCATGGGAATTTCAGCCTTTGTTAGCAGGACTGCATTCCTGGGCATGAAAGCAAGAGAAACAAACTCTGGCTATTGGAAGATTTGGAAGAACAGAGCCACAAGCAGCAATCTTTCCAAGGGACTGGAGCACCTGATACACAAACCATTCATCACACTGCTTTTGAAACCCCCTTGCCTGGAGAGGAGTTGTTCTGATGCCAAGAAATCCAGCCCAGTATCCAACCAGGTGGGATACTGGTATCAAACTGGTCAGCCCTGCCAAGGCACATGTCCCCAGGAACAACTACCACGGGCAAAGCACCTTCTCCTTCTCCCGGTGGACCCAACCACAGAAGAACCACAAGGTTTAGCCTCGAGGAACAGCAAAAACACACACAGCACCCGATAGGAGCCGGCCAGACTCACCTGAGGAGCACAGCTGGGAGCAGGGGGTCTGTGGGACGAGGTCCTGGCCATGGTGGGTGCTGGAGAAGTGTCCCCGTCACCATAAGCCCACACCCAAGGAGGGTGCTGGCCGGGAGCTGCACAGAAAGGACCTGGAGGCTTTGAAGACCAGAGTCATCTCCAGGCTGTAATTACCCACTTGCTTCCCCCACCCCTGATTATGTAGATGAGAGAAATGGCAGAACCCACCAATCTGCCGGGGAGGGAGGAGGCTGAATGGTCCCGCCCCTGTGTCACCAGGGCCAGGGACCCCTGGGACCCCCTGCCACCCCAGGGACACCCTGCCACCCCAGCAGCATGAGCATGTGGCTTCAGCTGGTCTCTGGGCATGGAGAAGACCAAGGCAGAGTGTGGAAAGGGGCTTGCTGTGGGTCAGGGCTGTTACAGGAGTAATTAATCCATTAATTGGAGTCAGCTCAGCAAACGAGGATGCGGTAGCAGGAACACCTGGTTGCTCTTGGCCCACCACCAGCCAGTCTTTGCCTGAAGGACAGTCTGCACCCTCTGGGAGTGTCAGCCCTTTGCAGGAACCCACAGCCACATCCAGCTCCTTTGGAGGCAGCCGTGGGTCTGGCCCCTCGCTCTGAGAACCCCCGTCACCTCCCGTCACCTGGGTGCAGGGTGGCAGCTGGGATGAGCCTGCTGAGACACCCCAGGGACACTTCTCCAGGCTTGTGTGACCACCCCAGCCTGCGTAACCACTCACACACTCAAACCATCAAGAAATTGGAGGAGATACTGTTTTTTTTTTTCACATGAGGTGGTGCAAACTGGCCGTCTCTGCTGAAAGGGGCAGAGCTGGACCCACAGCCACCACCCCTCCCCATGCCAGGAGCCTGCTGGCCACCGCGCTGGCCTCTTCCACCACTGTCCCTCGCAGGTGGCACAGGGCTGTGTCCCTGCCTCATTTGAGCTTCAGCTATTTTTCCCCCTTTTTTTGCACACAGCAGTGGCCGGGGGGAGGTTTTCCCTCTTTGCCTCTCTCTCTGCCCCGGCACAACCACGGGAAGGCCTGTGTGAAGAGCAGCAGCGTTGGGTGACAGCGGGGACACGGCAGGATAACCCCGGTGTGTTGGGAAAGGCAACTGGAGCCAAACAGGAGGCTCTGGGAGAGCCTTTGTCTGGAGCTGGGTTAGGAGAAGGTGCAGCCATGGGGACAGAGAACGACTCCCACCTGCGAGCCTGGTGGTGGCTCCTCATCATCGGATGAAGGCACCGCACCGCACCCAACGTCTGCCACCTGCAGCCCCTTTGGTCCTCAGGCTCCCTGCGAGCCGGCAGCTGCTCAGCCTGCTGTGTGTGGGCAGCAGGGACCCAGGCTGTGTCACATGCCTGAGGCAGCGTGTCGCAGCCGGTGGCATCCCTGCGGGAGCCGAGAGACACGGGAAGGGACGCCGGCACCTGCCCCTCTCCCTTAGCCCCCTTCCCTGGCATCTGCTCCCGCTGGGGCCGGCAGGCAGCATCCTCAGCTACCAGGGATGTGGTCTGACAGCACAGCAGCCTTATCTCTGGCTTGTATAATGAACTCCTCTCCAGAACATTAACTCTTTCTGGGTGAGAGCTGTTCTGCTTCCAGCAGACCTTGGCCGTGCAGAGCCCCAGGGCAGTGGCCCAGCGTAGCTGGAAGGTGGAGCTGGGGGTGAGAAGCTGCTGGTCCCCCTGCCCGTGGGTCTGGGCCACCGTGCGATGGCTTCTCCGGCGTGGGCTGCGTGCGGGCAGTTTCACTGAATTTCACTGAATTTTAGAGTTGGAAGGGACCATAGAGATCATCTAGTCCAACTAGATGATTTTGCTGCCAGCCCGGCGGAGTTTGCAGAGCGAGCCCAGCCTGTCACATGCAAATGCCCGGATAAGTTGGTGCCTGCAAACAGGAACCACTTTATGGAAAGCAGCAGAACCCTTCCCATCCCGCCCCGAGGAGCAGCCGGAGCCCAGGCGCGGCAGCCTGGACGTGGGGCAGGGGGGTGCAGGCAAGTTTTGGGGCTGCACTGGGGCAGATTTGGGTGCCCCAGTCTGTGAGGACACTGCTGTCACACTCCTGTGGCTGCCAGGGCACCAGCAGACCCCTGGCAGGCGAGCGGGACAAGGTGCCATGGCTTTCCTGCAGCACGGTGGCAGGTTGCCCTCCGCTAACGTTTCCTGGCCATCCTCGAGGGAGACACGGTGGTAAAAATCCCAGTTGGGTTTGTTGTTTGGCCTCTGCCCGGCTTTTCTCAGCTCCCCAGAGCCCGTGCCGTGGCCGTGCTGGCAGCCTCCCTGGCCATCGCGCCGAGCATCCTGCCCAGGGCACCGAGACCCACCACCGCAGCAGCTCTCCCTTCTCCAGCCCCAGTTCCAAAACCAGCCCATCTGCCCCGTGCAGGTTCCTTCATCATTTTAAGTACACTCATGGGGAAACAGCCCTTTCCCCAGCCTTCCCTCTGCACACCCTGTCCCGGGGAGGGGGCACAGAGGAGCCAGCCCCGTGCTGTCCCCCCGCTGTGCCGGAGGTGGCCGATGGATGAGGTGCATGGAAGCAGGAGGGTCTCCCTTGCTCAGAGCAGTTTTGGGGACAGGCGTCCCTCTGCTCTCCCATGGTCCAGCAGCATTTCCCAGCTCACGGCTGCTTCCCCTGCACTCTGGGGACTTGTGGTATTTCTGGACTATCTGGAGAAATAACAGAAGGGGATGCTGTCCCGTCCTCTGCCGTCCCGGAGCGGGAAGCTGTGGCTCAGGGCACCAGCTCTGCCCCTTCCTGTGATTTCGGCCGTGCCTGAGGAGCAGGAGCAGGTAGCACAGCCCTCGCAGAGGGGCTTCCAGGAGGGTGTTTGGGGCACCAGCAGAAGAAACGCAGACCTGCAGCAGCTGTCTGGGACTAGGCGAGCATCCTGCCAAAGGAGACTTTAAAGCAAATTAATTACTTAAAACTATTTTTTTTTTTTTTTTTGAGTCATGATTTTTGTGCCAGCCTCAGATTCCTCTGGGCTGACCGTGATGGTGAATGCTCTGTTGGCAGCAATTGGTGACATTACGCTGTCAGCAGCGACACCTTCCCGAGGCCTCTGTCTCTCCCGGGGGGCAGCCGTGGGTCCTCCCTCCCAGGTCTTGGGCAACCACCTCAATCAGGTGGCTTAAATGTACCTCAGTGTTGTGTTCTGGGTCCAGTACAGACCCCAGTAAACCCTGTGCTCTCTTCTCTCCCCAGCACAGCGTCGGACACGCTCTATGAGCCAGCCCAGCGTCAGCAGCCCACGGGGTCCAGGTGCCAGTCGGTGATTCGGAGCAGGACAAGTTTGTTACCAAGTGTAAGTGCACCCTTTGCATTGTCAGGAGCAGCTCTTTGAGAGCAGGGATTTCCCCTGCTCAAAGGACTTTATTCCTTTGAAAAATCCCTGCCTTTCATGGCAGCTCCAGCCGGGTGGCTGCGGTGGGGGTGTCCGCAGGGGGAAGCTGAGCGCTCGCAGCTGCGGCAAAAGTCTTCTTGTTGGGGCATGAACTCTTGCAGCGCCGGCACTTTGGGCCCAGGGTTGCAGGAGCTGCTCAAGGAGCTGCCAGCAGGGAACAAGCCACAGAGGAGCGGGTGTTGTGCTCATTAAGTTACCGTACCACGGAGCCCTGCCAAAAACCCGCTGGCAGCGTTACCGGCCGCTGCTGAGACCTGCCGGTGTTTCCCGGAGCACAGGATGCAGACAGACAGGGCTGGGGAAGGTACCACTGGGGTCTCTCAGCCCTTTGAGGACTCTGACCCTGAGATTTAACTGCTGGAGGGACAGACACCCTCACCTGAGCTGCTCAGCATCCCCCGGATCCCCTCTGTGCAAAGCCCAGTGACACTTGGGTGAGCTCAGACGCACCAGGACTCCCCTGCCCGTGCTGGCAGGAGCCTCCCCCACGGCCCAGCTCTGGCTGGAGAGGGCACAGAAAAAGGCATTTGCAAGTTATTAATGCTCTGGGGCTGGTCCCCTTGTCTGCAGCTTCTCCCCTGGCTTTGGAGAAGTCCTAAAGGAGTAAGGGAAGTAAAAGTGGGGGTTCTTCCTGGGGGCCACAGCAGAGGGACACGTGGCTCACGCAGGAGAACCCAAGCCCTGGCGGGGCACGTCTTTCTCCAGAGCATTACTCAGTCACTAAAGCAGCAGGAAAAGAGCCTCCCCTGCCCCAGCCTCTGCTTCGGTTTTGCTCTCAGCTTCTGACAGAACCAGGTCACTCTTTCCACACTTCCCCGGCCTCGGTGAGAGCTGATTACTGATCTGGATGGACATGACTCACTGCCTTTTCTAACCAACAACTTTCCTCCCTTGATGTACTTTGGCGGGGCCTTTCATACACCTAAAGGAGGAGGAGGGTGGCACTGGGGAGAGGCAGGGGAACCCGAATCCCCGGCCCCCGTGAGCTGGTTCTCACCATCCCTTTGGCTTCCAGCCAGTTCTGAACTCGCTGCTTTTGAGCAGGGGAAAGGCGTCGCTTAATCTTCCACGCGCTAATCCGGGCGCAGTGCTGTCCAGCCCCACAGGTAAGCTGCCTAAACCCTCCACAAGTAATTGGAGCTAATTAGGCTGGAAGATTTTTTTGGTGTGTTAATATCTGTCCAGGTGATGCCTGGGGGCCCCGGGGTAATAAGCTCTGTGCAAACCCAGCACCGCCTTCCCCCGCGGAGGTTTGATGGCAGGAGGTTGTCCAGGCCATGGCAGGAGGAGTTGGGTTTTCCTGGTCTCTTGTGGGGCCGTGGTCTCACCAGGGGGCTGCCCTGCTCATGTGCCATCGCTTGTCTTTTGCAGTGACTAAGCTGAGGAAGCTCTCGCTGTCCCACTGCCACCGCCGGCGCAGACCATCCTTCCCTTGGCTGAAGATCCCGTTGGATCCCTTCCCATAATGGAAGCGTGAGTGCCAAGATCCTCCATGACCTCCAGAAGCCACAACTCCTTACCGAGAACTTTGATGGCTCCACGAATGCTTTCGGAAAGTGCCCTCGGGGGCATCGCCCAAATCACCCCCTCGCTCTACCTGAGCCGGGGCAGCGTCGCCTCCAACCGGCACCTGCTCCTCTCCCGGGGCATCACCTGCATCATCAATGCCACCATCGAGATCCCCAATTTCAACTGGCCCCAGTTTGAATACGTGAAAGTGCCTTTGGCTGACATGCCCAACGCCCCCATCTCCCTCTACTTCGACAGCGTCGCCGACAAGATCAACAGCGTGGCGCGGAAGCACGGGGCCACCTTAGTCCACTGCGCCGCCGGCGTCAGCAGGTCGGCCACCCTCTGCATCGCCTACCTGATGAAGTATCACAAGGTGTCCCTCTTTGAGGCCTACAACTGGGTCAAATCCAGACGCCCCGTTATACGCCCCAACGTGGGCTTCTGGAGGCAACTGATAGACTACGAGAGGAAGCTCTTTGGGAAGACGTCGGTTAAAATGATACAGACGCCGTATGGCATCATCCCAGACGTTTATGAGAGAGAGAGGAGACCCCTGATGCCTTACTGGGGAATTTAATGGGACTGCAGATGGGAAGCACAACAGAAGGGACGCGCTGTGCTGAGTCGGACCAGACCGGAGACATCCCCTTCTCCTCCTACAGCCAACATTGGTTCTTTACCATTCAGCAGAACCTCGACTCATCCCCACCTCACTAACCTGCAAGGCCAACGGTTCCCTTCAAAGCATTTCTCTCTACAGGGATTCCCCCATCCGCATTTCTCTGATTTAGCAGAATGAGGTCTCCTTTATAAGTTTATTCCTTTCATAAAAAAGCCTCCCTCCCTTTTTTAGTCAGTTTATTAGCATCCTGCGAGGAAAGGCCTACAAGGCATTTGGCAGAGTTAATGAACAAAGTGCGCTTTGTGATGCGGTAGCCTGGATATTTCCTTAATAGCTTGTTTGCTTCCTTGCAAAATCCTGTAGTGGCTCGGGAGCAGCACTAGCACGGAGCGAGCGAGGTCCTACTCCACGGCAGCGGGGTTTTTTTTTTTTTCCAAGAGCCAGGAAGGCAGGGGTGCAGGGTTGTGGTGCTAGTGCTGGTGTTTTATTTAACATCCGTAGTGACTCTCAGTATATAGTGTTTGAGATCTTTAGTCAGCTCTTAATCTGTATTAAAAGTCAAAAAAAAAAAAAGAAAAAAAAAAGAAAAAAAACGAGTGAAGTCAGTCCTTGTCGGCCACAAGCAAAATAAAATTTGAGTTATTCAAATCGAATAAATACAAGATTCTTTTTCATTCATTCCATGCCAGGGCAATAGGCCTGGAACACACTTGCACTACTGAAAAACGCTGGTGTTTTTTTTCTGGGTGGAAAGCAAAGAGAGATCTTGTCCAAAGGCGGCTCGAGACGGCAGCGAGAGGTTGGCCCCTTCCTAAATCACTCCATCACGTCCTCAAGGTTATGTTTTATTCCGGAATTAATTCTGCGCAGGACGGCGATCTGTCCAACCTCCCGGACGAGGACGGCTCTACCCAGGAGGCTTTGCCTTCTTCTGTGTGTGACCACAATGAACCCAAGCCCAGAGGTGGGAGAAGCCTTTCCCTGGATGTCGCTCCCTCCCGGCGCAGGGGAAGGGACTGGGTTCCTTGGAGCAGGACTGGGCCACCAGGAGAGCAAGGCACGTCCCTCCGAGACCTCTGTGTCCTCTGTTGCATCTCCGGAGGAGGAAGAGGCAGGTTGCTGGATGCCGAGATAGCTATCTGATTTAAATGAGATTCTATACTTGTACAAAAAAACCAAACCAAATCAATAAAGATTAAAGAAGAACGGGTGTTGGTTTCCTATTGGGAACTGCGCTGACGTCGCTCCAGTAACAGGGAGAAGGGGGGGGGGAACCAGCAGGGGCTTCAAACAAACCTGGGCCTCAGTCTGGAGAAAATGCCCGTCACTTGGCTGCTGGGTTTGCAGCCCATCCAGGTGCCCGGCAGTTCCATCACAAAAGCCAGGCAATTCATTTGGTTGTCTCAGAATTTTTCTCTTCTGAAGGCGAAGCTGAAGAGCCATGGGTTTAGGGAACACCAGGCGGGGTGAAGGGTCTTCTCCAAGCAAACCCAGGGTGAAGGGTCTTCTCCAAGTGAACCCAGGCTGCCTGAGCATCACAGTAGGAGCTGGGCTCTGCTGTCCCCACAGTGACAGCCACGAGGGCTGAAATACTGATAACAAAACCACACAAATGGCCTCAACCTCAGAGAGGTAAAACCAGAGCTGGGTGGGGTAAAGGCTGAGATCAGAGTGGATTTGTGAGGTCCAGTGAGGTCACAGGCTTTAAACTGGGCCCAGGGCCACTCACTGGGGGACACGACACGGGGAGGAGAGCGCCCCGAACCCCTCCCTGCAGAGATGGGCGTTGGGAGGGCGGCCGTGGGTCCAAACTGTGTTAATGCCACACACACACACACACAAACACACACACCCACACACACGAGACGTGACTGTTCAGTAAAAAAAAAAAAGCATTCTGCTCATCTCTCTTATTTTTATCGGGAGTTAAACTGCGACCAGGGAAACGGTAAGTAAGAAAAGGAACCAGAGATTAAAAATCAAGAGTAATCATTAGTCTGGAGACATTCTGAAAGCATGACATTTCAAAGGAGAAAAAAAATACTAAGACCTGAAATCTGCTTGCAAAAGTTCAGTAAAAAAAAAAAAGCATTCTGCTCATCTCTCTTATTTCTATCGGGAGTTAAACTGCAACCAGGGAAACGGTAAGTAAGAAAAGGAACCAGAGATTAAAAATCAAGAGTAATCATTAGTCTGGAGACATTCTGAAAGCATGACATTTCAAAGGAGAAATACTAAGACCTGAAATCTGCTTGCAAAATTAAACTTTACCTAGAAAACGGGCTATATATAATTTAACGGTATCTTCTACATAAAAACCGGAAGGTAAAACTTCTCCACGTGGAATTATTGTCTAGACTCTACACACAGTGCCCTGGGACCCAGGGGAGGGGGAGATGCTAATTTTCAGCCAAGAAAGCATCAAGACCGAGTCTTAAACAAAAGGGGAAGTCAGACCAATAAAAAAAAAAACATAATTGCCTAATAGAGCCCATTTTGAAATAAAGAATTCACCTGAAATACCCATTGGAGATTACATTATGGAGAAGCGCGACGGTATTAATATTTGTAGGTATTTCTTTGTGAGAGATCCTCTGAATTAAACTTTACCTAGAAAACGGGCTATATATAATTTAACGGTATCTTCTACATAAAAACCGGAAGGTAAAACTTCTCCACGTGGAATTATTGTCTAGACTTTCTACACACAGTGCCCTGGGACCCAGGGGAGGGGGAGATGCTAATTTTCAGCCAAGAAAGCATCAAGACCGAGTCTTAAACAAAAGGGGAAGTCAGACCAATAAAAAAAAAAACATAATTGCCTAATAGAGCCCATTTTGAAATAAAGAATTCACCTGAAATACCCATTGGAGATTACATTATGGAGAAGTAGAACAGCATTAATACTTGTAGGTATTTCTTTGTGAGAGATCCTCTGGTGTGTAGCAGAAGATACTTCCCATGAGGAACTGTTTTCCTGCCCCTCAAAAGCCAGATTTTGGTGCATCCTCCAATCTCTGGAAACCAAAGAAGAAATAGAGCCACAAGGTTTTTTTCTGGCTTTGCACAAGCTTTGACGGGTGGGTCAGACACGAAATAAGCTCTTTATTGAAAACAAGGGTTGAATCTCAACAAAGGGTTTCTAAATCATGGCAGGAATTAAGGGGGTAAACAATGTACTAAAGTCAATTAATAAGGCTGATTCCCCTCGGATTTCAAACACCAGCAGTGACTCCAGCGCGGCACCAACCGACACCGCTCCAACCACTCAGCGCAAAACCACTTCTAGGAGACAAATAACATTCACCCAGAGGGAAGAATAAAGAATCACAATACAAAGAGAACTTTTCTGACCACTTTTCTTCATAAAATGATGACATTTATATTTTGAGAACTGGAATAAAACACGGGTCCAGAGAGAGAGAAAAAAAACAGTCTTTCAGAAGAAGTAGTTTGTACAATAGCAGCTTTTATTGAAAAGGCAGGTATTTGTTTCAAGTTTAATTAATCAGACACGGAATTAACTAGAAATCAGAGCATTCCTTGGTTTTCAGGAGCTTCTCAACCTTAGGTTGAGCTTCACCATCACTTCATATAAACTGCACGAATGTCAAGGAAAGAACTGCTCAAAAACCAACCCAGGTGAAGAGAAGCTGCTGCCAGAGAGGGAAAAAATCAGCAGAACCATCAAGTGCAGAACAGAACAATTCCTACAGCACAAACAACCTCCCAGCGCCCGCAGCCAATTCGGGGCACATCCAACCCAAAACTGGGGCTGGACGGGCAGGGGACGGGCTGGAGCCACCGAGGAAAAACCACAACACACCAAAAGCATCAGGAATACAGCTGGGTAAAGCAAAATATACATTAAATAACCAAGCAAACAATCTCTTTAAAATTCCAAATATACAAAATATATAGAAAAAAAATTATCACTTTCCACGGATGATCCCAAGGCAGCTCCAGAGAACGGGTGCATTAAATAACAAAACCCCGGTGTTTCTCTTTTTTTTCTAGCAGAGACATGCAGGAAAAGGAGTTACATTTGTGAAATTCAGCATCTCCATCAGCCGGGGAGGGAAGGAAGGAGGGAAGGGGGGGGCTCTCAGAAAATAGTGTCACCCTGGGTACAGCCCACCTGGACCCCGGGCTCTGACTGACAGTGTCATCTCCGAGGAGATGCCGAGTGGACCAGCGAGTCATTGGAACATGGATGTGGGAGTGAGATGGTCCTCCTTGTGCAGAGCCTTTATCCAGGGTGTGGACACACAAGGGATGCGGTGCCTTCCCGTGACATGAAGGTGCTGGGCTCAGGAGAAGGCTCCCTGCTCAACCCAGAGGCACCAACATCTCCTGCTGCTTCCCCTGACACACGAGGAGTGTCACACACTCCAGCGAGCCCTGCTGCAATTAGAATTGTAAATGCTGATTCCTGGTTTCTCTGGGCCAAAAGACACACTGGACACGTCTATAGAGAGGGAGCTTCCTTGCTCAACCAGTACAAGAAAAACATCGCTGAAAAATGCTTTTATGCCAATAAAGCTGGTGCTGTATTTGAAATACCGGTTGCTTTAAGTTTCACGCCGTGGCCTCTTTTTATTTGTGGCATTCTCTTTTAATTAGAAAGGGAGAAAAAAAAAATAAAAAAAAATCCTATCTAGCGAAGTGTTGAGGAGCTGCGGTGGAAACCCAAGCTGACAATAAACTCCCTTTTCCTAATATAGCCTTTCATAAGCAACAGCCTCTGCGTCAGCCAGATACTCCAAACCACTTGAGAAGTCCCCTGGCTGACAGCAAGACGGAGCGGCCGCTTGAAGTCAGAGAGCCCTGGAGTGGTTCTGTAATTCCCCACCCAAAAGCTGAGTACCCCCCAAAACATCAATGGGAACACTCGCCCCGGTGAGGGATCCACCAGCCCCTAATTATGCTGGAAAACAATAAATGTGGTTACCAGCGAGGGCACTGGGTGCTGTCCCTGCTTCACACCTCACAAAGGAAACGGAGAGCACCCAAGGAGGGACTGCCCTTTTTTTTGCTAATTACTGGGCAGCAGCAGGCAGTCGCTGTCACACCATTGAAAACCTGCCGCTGGATGAGCTGGAGCTTGAGACTGGAGGCACAAGTTGCTTATTTTATGAATGAGCTAATTTCAGGCAGCAGGAAGATTTATTTTAATTTGTGTAAATAAGGGGCCAGACACCTAGCAGTCTTATTAGCCAAGATTGTTTCATTTGGTATAATTAATAGTTTAGTATAACTAAGCTTGCCTTTTTTTTTTTTTTTTTTAAATACAAAGCATCATTTTTCCTCATTGTAATTTCTATTTCAGCAAATAACCACCAGTCAGTGGCTGCTCCTTATACTGGGGGCAAGATTAACTTGGAAAAAGCTGTCGGTACCTTTGGAGAGAAGGGAGATTTCCTCCAGATCTGAGCAACTGAAGTCAAAGAATTAAGCAGCCGGTTGTACCTGATGGACACACACCCCACTTCACAGAGCAAGGCTGCACAGTGGTCAGGCTCTTAAAATAACACCGTGAGGCTCCCACTGGGTTTAAAATTCTGTAACCAGCACTAAAGCTGGTTGTGCTGTTGTCTGGAGGAGAGAATGGGGTACTTTATGTGTATGGGTCACATTGTGTGATAGTCTATTATACCACCCTCCTTCTGCCCAGGGAGCTGTAGCTACCAGGAGCAAGGACGGGGCTGGTGCACGATAACCTGCTGGAGAAGAGCAAGTTTTGGGGTTAAATCACACCCACCTGGAGCAGCGGAGAAAATGGGGTACTTTAGGTGCATGGGTCACATTTTGTGATAGTCTATTATACCACCCTCCTTCTGCCCAGGGAGCTGTACCTACCACGAGCAAGGACAGGGCTGGTGCACGATAACCTGCTGGAGAAGAGCAAGTTTTGGGGTTAAATCACACCCACCTGGAGCAGGAGCTCGGGGCCGCCCCGCGCTGCCAGCTCTGAGTCAGAGAAACACGTTCGCACAGATAGCACGAGATTGCACAAGTCACACGTGGGCATCCCATGGAGAAAAGCACATTAAACACACAAAAAAAGGTACCAGAGAGAGAGGAGCAGACACGCTGGGTCAGCAGAGCCCCAATTTTACCAGTGAGGCAGCCAAAGGGTTGAGTGGAACACGACAAATCACACCCGCAGCTCAGGACAGGTCCAAGGAAGGGGTCTGTCTCCTATTTACAGCAGAGTAACAAAGACTGAGAGTTTTAAAATCCAGCTGCCTGGACTCCAGATATGATAGGGAAAATTTCAATAATTTTTTCCAGTCCTTGTCCCCCAGTGCTAACCAGCTACGCAGCTGAACACAGTATAATTTACAACACAGAAGAGTGGAAATATAAATATACAACGGCTCTAGGCAGTCTCATTCCTTCTAACTCAATAATTCATTTTGCCCGGAAAGTTCCTGTGCATTGTATGCATCCTAATAGAATAGCAGCAAACATTTAAAGAAAACCATCATGGTCCATATACCGAAAAACTAAAGAAAAGATTTGTTTGCAAATGTGTACTTCAAGTATTTAAGTGGTCACTTCTACGCAGATCAGTCAAGCGTTGCAGTTTTTCTCAGAAGCTCAGAACTGGCCTCTCTCAGAGGTTTATGCAGGTGGTTTGCAGGTTGGTTTGTTACAGAATAACCCGTTTCCATCTTGAGAAAGACTGATATGCCCTATTTTTTGCCACACGACAGTTTTTTTTCTGGTTATTTCGGAAATTTCTCTTCATGAGCAATTTGTACGTGGCGGTGGCTTTAACCCCTTATCGTACAAAAATCAAACCGAGACATTTCAAACACCGACCCCCCCTCCAGCCTGTCCACGTCCCCCATCACACAATTTACCCCAAGTGTCCTGTGGTATCGGCCCTGACACCCCATCCTCAGCACAGCTCCTCTCAGAGCAGGTCTGGCAAAATGAGACCCGGAGGTTTGGGCTCCACACAGTTGATCCAGAAATTGGCACAGCTTGCGTGGTACTGGTGCCCCCCGTACGCCAGCTTGAAGTTATCCGTCTCCGAATTAAAGGCCTGAAATCAGAAGAATTGAAAGGAGTGTGAGAGTCTCATCTACTCCGGGATCCAGCCTCTCGAGTGGAAAATGGAGAGAGCACAGGGGTCACCCCAGAATGGCTCAGCACGGAAGGACCCTGGCGCTCTGAACGGAACACCCAACAAACAATATTTTATTTTAGTGTTTGTAGGTGGATAAAAACTTCAGGCATCACACCTGATGTTGCCTCTTCCACCCTGGATTAGGGCAGCTTTCTCATTAACACACCCTCTGATCTGACACCGGGCAACTATCCCACCCTCTTTGATGCATCTCCTAGTTCTGCTGTGTCTCCTACGCAAGATAGATGCTGCTTCTTCTGCCACTAAATAGCTAAAAGTGCATTTATTTCCACTGGGTCAATTTTTGCTGTGATTTAGGCAGGTGTGATTCTTGGTATTAGTGTTATTTCAGCTTGAATTTGGTCTGCTTTCTTCTGTTAATTGAACCTGCTTCACAATAGGAGCTGCTGAACGGGGCGCGTGAAGCCATGAACAGGCTTAAAACATCCCCATGTTTGTTGCTAGGAGATACCTTCCAATGCTTCACAGCCACTTATTTAATAAAATATATTCTAACCCTGTTCCCCACCCCCTGGATTTCCTGCGGAGATTTTTAAAAATGCCATTGCCTACTGCATATAACCAAAAGTCAATATTTGTAGCAAAAAAAAAAAAAAACCAAACCCCTACAGTTCCCCCCAATCTGCTACAAACTGGGAAACTCACTGTGGTGAATTCTCTACACACAACAGAAGGAGCACAAAACCAGAAAGCTATTCACGAGATACAAGCATGCAGACAAGACAAAGGGGAGGCTCTAGAGCGGGTTAGTTGATCAGATCAAGTGTTACAGTCACAAAAAAAATGACTAGAAGAAAAGGGTTCATGATTTGGTACAATTGAGAATGACAGCTGAGAGCCAGGGAGCAGTTCAGCTTTCCACACTCAACTGAGAATGATTCTATAAAAGGAATATGTTTTTTTACAGATTCATACTTTTCTAGGAAGCTCTTCCACAGGTTTCTCTTCTTTCTGAAATAATGTTGAAACCAAAAAGTCAGCAAAACTGCCGATATACGTTAAAGGGTTGGCATTACTCTGTACACATCCTGGGACTCCCTCCCAGCTCTGCTAATTGCAACAGTCCCCTCCTGGTGATCCTCAGAGATGCATTTCTCAAAGAGATGTCATTAACAGATTTTTATTTTTTTTAAATATATATATACTTTTAAAGTCTTAGTATCCCCATTTCTTCCCTGTTACTAACAATTTAAGTCCTCAACACTTTTTCCACGTCTGTGTCATACCCAACGCCCAACAAATGTAGGACATTGACTATTTGAGTCCCTCTATAGGTCAGACTTTGCCACATCCAGTTACAAGTTATAGCCAGGAAAATTAATTTTTTTTAATACACCCAAGGCCTAAATGAAAGTCCAAACTGTAAATTTAAAATGACTTTAAAAGTAGAGGCTATTATACTGACTTTACTCCTGGAATCCACGTTTTTTTTAATACACCCAAGGCCTAAATGAAAGTCCACACTGTTTTGCCACATCTGGTTACAAGTTATAGCCAGGAAAATTAATTTTTTTTAATACACCCAAGGCCTAAATGAAAGTCCAAACTGTAAATTTAAAATGACTTTAAAAGTAGAGGCTATTATACTGACTTTACTCCTGGAATCCACGTTTAGGAGGCACACTCCACAGGCAAGATCTTGGGCGTTTTTAATCCCCGGGCGCAGCATACAGGAAGAGAAATCCAGGGAGTTTTCGTCCGGCTAAAGAAAGGAGACAATAAAATGTAGGCATTTTCAGTGACTGAGAAACTTTCAGACATCACGATAAAAATTATCGATCCGGTCGCTACCGAGAGCCGCGGCATCGCAGCGGTGACAGGGCAGGGATGATATATTGCATTTTCTCATGGACTGATGCATGATTTAATCAAAGCCATTAGTGTGTATTTGCAATCCTGCCATGCCATCTCCACCGCCATTAATTTATAACACTCAAGCCCTTGAAAAAAAAGGGTTAGACTACAAAGGAAGGAATTCTTAAGTTCCACGTTCCCACATCAAAAGGGGAAGAAACTTCTGAGGGAAGAGCCCGGGCGGCGGCTGCTCCATCGCAGCGGCGGCGATGATGAAGAGCGGGAGGAAGATAAACAGGGGTGTGGGAGAGCTGTTTGTGCAGCTGCAGGAGAGGAGCCAAGGGCCAGCACCCCCCTCACCAGCTTCAGCCCTGAAGTGGGGTCTGTATCTGTGTTTATTGTCCCAAATTCCCTATTATCACCTGATCAGAAAAGAGCAGTTGTTACTCTTCCTGGAGGTTTTTTCCGAAGCGAGAATACGGCGCAGCAGCACAAAATGGGATATGAAGGTTAACCAAACCAGAGAAGAATTAAAGTCAGCAGCCATATACAAGCTTGGGTCAAAGAGAGGCAAAGGGGGGGAGAATAAACCTGGAAATAAGTCACTTTTCCCCATACACAACCTCCCATTTCAGCCACAAGATAAACGATCATTTAAAACTTTGCATAAGGGTGGTATAAAGCCGTTGAAGTTTTGCTCGAAGGCAGCAGTGCAAATAAAAACAATGCCTTAGAAATGCAAGTAGCTTAAAAAAAAAGATGTGATCCTCGAACACGTGTACTTTTCATCCACACTCTAGGGATCCTCATCACACGCCCCTGCTGAATGGCTGGAGAATAATTGGAATCCTGAAAAAAACCCACCCTTTAATCTTTAAGTAGATCAATCAAATTAATAAAGGCACTCTAATATTTGTTTACCAAATGCATGAGTGAAGCAAATGAGAAGGTCATCCTGTAATTTGCAGTGAGAAACCACAAGGCTGTGCATAAAATTGCCTTGTAACAAAATCCTTTAAAAGATAAAATTAACCTTTCCAGGCACATGCCTCTGAGCTAGAATCCTTCTCTCTCCTTAATTGGCGCTTCTGCATCATCTGGGATGCGCGGCGGCGAGACCAGGGGAGGAAGGAATGGGTTCCACATCGTCCAGTGACCCAGGAGGAGAAGCAAAACAGAAAGGGAGGATTTTGAGAGCTATGGGAGCCCCTGTCTCCCAGACAACTTCAGAGGTACCGTGTGTGTGTAGGAAAAGTCATTATTCACAGCTCCTGATATGTTTTAAGTTTATCTGGACCACTGCAGCTCAGAGAACGTGTGGCCAAGCTTTGGAGTTCAAGGTAATCCCTGTAATCTTCCAAGGAAAAGCATTTTAAGAACTAAATTTTAATCCACTTGCTTAAATCATGAGAGGGTCCCGCTGGCTGTTTAGATTGTTACCACCAACAACGCTGGAGTTCAAACAGAGGAACGAATCCCCGTCCATCAACCTCCTCTGCCAAGCAGTAAAATATCAAATGTACAGATTTCATCTTACGATGGGCTTCGTGCAACACGGGACATCACCAAAAATACCCGTTCGCCACCGCTGTTGGTACTGGAGAGGTTTAAATTGTGTAAAAGGTGTGTAAAAAGGAACTATTAATCTGTAATACCTATTTCGCAGGGAATGACAGGGAGCTGAAGGTGGCTATTTCAAGCAGACACCACGTACTCTGGGCCTGACTTATAAATGAGCGCTAATTGGGGAGCCAAAAAATCATTAGTGGCCATAGTTGCATTGGAAGAAAGGAGCCACAAATTAAAATGTTCAGTGAAAACATAACCGAGGTAACGATCTCCTTATTGATGCTTGACACGATGGACTGATACTGGGTTAAAGAGGTGTCTAATGAGTTCAAGGGATCCATTACACGAGGCAACACCAAGTACCTACAGACGGATGATTCCCCAAAAATATGAGTTTTACACTTAAAGAAAGTTATTCTGCACATCGCATTTCCTGCAACACATGCACCAAAAAAAGTGCAAGGTATTTAATGGCAAAGTGATTTTTTTTTTTGGCCTTCTCATTGTGCGTATTCTGTACCTGGCCCCAATTTGCCCTGCTTTTTCCCCAGTTCCTTTGCAGACCCTTCCCATGGGATGCTCCTTCTCTTAAAGGCCACCCCTCAGACAGTCCCTCACCATCCCTCCCTGAACCCTCCCCCAGGTCTGCAGAAAGCTCTCAGGCTCCTACCTGTCCAGTCAGAGCAACGGAGCCTTTTCTGGCAGTTCTATTCAGAGGAGGAAAAGCTATTTTGTCTGTAGCAGGAACCAAAACAAACTCAGGCATTTCCAAATGCAGAGAGAAAGGGAAACAGCTGAGTTATTCCTGCGTTGTGCAGTCCTACATCGTGAGCATGAAAACTAATTGCAGGGATATTACAAAGACAAGATACGTCCACACTATTCCAGCTTCATAAAATGGCTTATTTAAATTTTACTATATTTCCCTCGTTGGAGAGGCCCACAGACACCCAGGATATCATCTAAATCATTAAGACACTAAGTAAGATAACATCCCGCTTGCACATAAATGGAAGTTTTCACACAGGGAGCACTGAAGTGGATATCACAAATAAGCACATTTCCATTTTGCAAGAGAAAAATACAAACTGTAAAGTCAGAACACCCCATGAAGTCATTTTACATGTAATTATGATTTTATTTTTTTATTTTAGTAAAAGCATAGCTGATTTTGGTCTTACCGTTAAAGCAGCAAGTGACATGAAGCTTATTAGGTTGTTCCACACTTTATCAATGTCCTTCAGCAGCTGCTGGAGCTTCTCACTGCAAACGGCGGTTGCTTTGATACCCAGCTCCACTCTCTTTGTCACCCTGTAGACCTCAACAACCCCTGTTGATACGAAACCAGTGCAGGCAAAGATCAAACTAAAAATATCATTTTGAAAAGAGTGATTATACATTACTACTTTTCAGAAGAGAAGTTTCAATGTAAGGGACGTGGTAAATTAACACATACCCAGTAAATATTCCATGTATTACTGCTTTTCAGAGGAGAAGTTTCAATGTAAGGGACATAAATTAACACATACCCAGTAAATATTCCATGCCTTGAGCAGACTGGATAACTTCAGTGCAAACGGATGAACTACTTATTCCATTTAAGGTGTCATTTGCTTTCTTTATGACCTGGTGGAAATGAATTTCATAAAATTACGGCGTTATCTACCTTAAAATAATCATTACGAACAAGATTGTCCCCAGAAGAAAATATTATACAAAAAAGGAGGCAAATTAAGTAAGAAATAATCGCCATACTCCATCACATGTTTTTATAAATTCATGCTGTAACTAGAAGTAGATCGGGGGAAAATATGAACATTTAAAACCTTAACTTATTCCCCCAAATATTTTCATTACCAAAATAATGGTTTTTTAGAGTATGAAGGCATTGCTATCTAGTTTAACAATAGCATTCAGTTTTGGCTGTCTAATACTCAAATGCAAAGAAGAAATTTTAAGGAAAACTCATCTGTCTGTGAAAGGTCTGACACCCATTACCAGAAAATTACCAGCCTCTCCACACAGCACGTTAAAAAAGTTCATTTCTCAAAAAGTGCAGAAAAGCCAACTGGTATCAATGCCCTGAACAACACCGAAAGCACGGGAACACCACATTATATAGTTAGCTTGAAAATTTAGGCAAAAGCCAAACTAAATCAGAAGTGACAGGGAGATTAGCAGAGGATCTTAAAGCGAGGAGGTGACACTCCTGCTGTGTGACAGCTTTTGGTTTAAAAACTGTAATCCACGGGCTGAGTCACACCCTTTCTGTGCCTGTATGGTCCTAAACACTGAATGAGGTGGTTCCTACAGGACAGAGGAGGTTTCAGAGCCCAGACACTTACTTGCAGGGCGCTCTCCAAGCATCTCTGCCATTCATAGGCGTACCTCTCGCTTTCCTGTGTGAATGAAAAGGACACTCTGAAGCTTGGTCCAACCCTCATATCCCTTTCTCCTATTACAACAGACATACCATAAGCTTCTAAGAGACTTTTAACATACCTATTCCTAATTTTTGCCTTCCCTTTCTCCTATTACAACAGACATACAGTAAGCTTCTAAGAGACTATTTGCAGATTAGTTTTAAACTTTTAACATACCTATTCCTAATTTTTGCCCCACTCTTTACATATTCTCTTTGCACCTGAACTCTAAAATTTGATTTCTGGGAGTTAGAACCAGTTTCTAAAGGAAGAACATCCATGAACAGGTAAAAAGTTTGCCTTGTGCACACCTACTCCTGACACATTTGTTACAGCTCTGCTGTTCTAGAAATGGGGATTAACAGAATTTAATCCGAGTCCTTTCACCATGTATTCTGAAGATGAGCAAGAGAAATAACTAGCACACAGCCAAAAAAACGTTAAGCCATTTCCAAAAGCCAACGGTCTCAGTGCCAAAACTGGGATTAGATTTAAGTCGTAAATAATTTCCAGTTACAAGCTTGGTCTGCAAGGCCAAGTGATTCTGTCTGACTTTCAGACAACACCATTTTTTTCCCCCCACTTCACGAGACTTTAAAGACAGGAGAGAAGAAACCTCCTTTATGAGCAGCTTCCCATCAAAACATCTAGATGCCATCTTAGAATCACACCCGAAATTCAAATAGCTGAAGTCCTGAAGATCTGGGATACAGAACACCCCTCATATCACACCGATGGAAGTCACTGCCAATTTACTTGTATTCCAGACATTTCCTTACCTCAACTTCCCCAGTCAAGTCTTTGTATTTGTCCCTGATGACGGGCAAGGCCGGCTTCTCGCTGAGAGTATTTGAACGATCCCTAAATGGCTGTTCCAAAACGGGTAAAGGTGAAGAGCGACTTATTTCTCGGTCTCCCAGGCTTAAGCTCCTTTTATGAGACCCTACAAAGTTAGGATACAAACAAGTTAGCCTTTTACTCATGAAGGCATGGACTATTTAAAATTAATAAAGTAGTAGCAGGGGATGCACTGCTACTCCAGCAGACCAAAGCCTTTTATTTACTCGGTGACTGGTGTGAATTTCCCCAGTTCCTCAATTCTTACTATTTTTTTGACACAAAAAATTTTTCTTCTTCTAGAAAAAGACCTGCTCCAAATGCAATAGAAGTCAATGAGAAGATTCAGCTTGTTTCCAGCAGCCTTTAGAACAATCCTCATTGGATAATTCATAAGTTAATTAGAAAAATTAGCCTTTGATAGGCACATGGATTATGGGCTCCCTCCACCCTGAGGGGACTTACCTTGAACAGACAAGTCAAAAGTAGCCAGTTCGCTCTTGATCATTTCTTCACTAGATTTCACCTTGCCTTGGGAAGTCGCCACCAAGAAGTCAAACTTGCTGATTTTTGGCTTTTCACTTTGGAATTCTCCAAAGTCATCTGTGGACTCTCTTTGCAGCTCAGAAGAGATACCACTAGCAAGGAAATCTGCCTCTTGGTTCGTGTCAGCTGCTGCCGCCGCATCCTGTGCTTCTGCTGAAGGTCTTGCAAAATCACCGAAGTCGCCGATGTCATCGTCACTCGGGCCGCTGGATATTGGTCCAGAGTCTTTAAAGTTTGCAAAGGCTGCAAAGGAAACATCCTGTAAAGCATCCTCGCTGGAAAAGGTTGTCACTTTGGAAACTGTTGTCATGGTAATGTTTTCTGAACTGCCAAACAAGGTCTCCTTCTTCTGAAGAACAGAAGTTGCCGCAGAGGACCCGCTTCCTGAAGACTGGACAAAGGAGGAGAGCTTCTTGCCCGGATGAATGTCTTCTTTGTCGGACCAGTCATAGCTTGCCAGGCTGCTGACTGCAGACCCACTGTTGTAGCTTCCAAATGGGGCGCATTTTAAGTCATCTATATCTGAGAAAAACAAACCCTTACAATTAGAAGCTGAAGCTCAAACATTTATCTCTGTACAGCGTGTAAAAACAGTAGCAACTTGCTGAGAGCCTTAAAGAACTGCAAGAACACACACACTGAATTGTTGCTTCAATGAGGCTTCAACTAGAGATTGCAAAAAAAAAAAAAAAAAAATCTGAAAAACACCCAAGCATTTAATACAGAAATTTCTCCATTTAATAAATGTAAGCCTTGACCTTTGAATATTGTCTTGTATTTTAAGCTGAAAGTCACCATCCCACTAGGGGTAGTGAAGAAACACTAGAAATAAAATAAAATAAATGTTTCTAGACAGTGGAGCCTGCAGAGATCACCGGTTCAGTTTCCTGATGGTGGCTGCAGAACCTGCAATCAAAATGTAAACACGAGCAACTCAAACATCACGTTATTTCATCTTATCAAAACCAACCACACAGAAGACTGGGCGAACTTTTCCATTCCCTCCGATAAAAGTATTAATACATTTTAATTTCAGGCTCTGATACAAATAATGTAATAAAAAACGTGCTGCAAGGATTTTTAAAACCCTAGAAGTCCTGTTGAAGCTCATGGCAGTTTCTGCGGTGCCGCTCGGCCGACTCTTCAAACTTACACCTTCCAGGAATGACACCAACGTTGCGAAGATGGTGGGTTTAGCTTACAACAAATTATATATTTGATTAAATATAGAGAAAACCCAATCGTTTTGCAGAAAGCTCCAAATATTTCTACTCACCTGGCAATTCTAGGGGCCAAAAGGTTCTCCTCACTGCCATCAGCAGGCACGAGATAGAGCCCGGTTGCCTACGTTAGAGCCAGCGACGGAGCCCACACAGCGACCGGGGGCTTCGTCCACTACTCCTTCAACTCATCTCTCACGTTAGTCTAGACTGAGATTGATCCACAGCGAAGGCACAGAGAGCCAGGGGCTGGGCAGTTTTCATTAAAGCATTAAAAAAAAAAAAAAAAAAAGGCAAGCCCTAGTGTACTACGTTTGGCATTTGTTTTCCAGCATTAAGGACTGTCAGTTTGGATCAGACGTTCAGCTGCTGCTCAGTGCCCAGGGTCAAACGGTCTCGAGGTAAAGCAAACCCAAACCAGGAAATATATTCTCTTTGCGTGGTTTTAGCTGAGATTCTTCTGATAAACATCATGGTCCGAACTGGCTGGCACCCAGTAGCAGCAGCTCGGGTTTAATAGAGCCGGGGTGGGAACAAGCTGACTTTCCAGCTGCCCTCTTTATTCAACCCGGCCACCCCAGCCCCAGGATTAAGCCATATGAACAAAACATTTCTGCCTTCATTTATTCATTTTACTGGAAGGGGAGAGCAGGCTCCCCTTCAGGCTGCTTTCCAGGCATGACCCATATACATAGCTAATTAAAAAGTCTAACAAATATACAAAATAATGTTAGAGTGTAATGGCTACAACAATAAAGGCCCCCTTGCTGTGGGTCAGCGAGGCTCGGTGTGTCATCTACTGGACCTTCCCAAGGGATGGGTCCGTGACAGCATCTCACTGGCAAACCCCAGCACCTCGCACACAGACAGCAAGACTTCCAAGTGCCATCCCAATATTAAATTTGTGGAGCAAGCAGTTTATGGAAGGGTAAACAGAGGAGAGATCAAATCACCCGCTGATGGCAAAACTGAAGAGAAAGAAGGCTCCGGGGTGAAAAGGAGCTGACTTGCAAGGGATTGGTAATTTATCATGAGAAACCACACCTTGTGCTCTCAAATACAGGGTTTTGTTTAAAGAAGTTCAATGAAAGCTTCACTAGCGTTAAAGAGTGCCAGAATAACCTCCAAAATGCTAGCCAACTGTAATTAATCCTGGGATCTTGAAAACACCACCGCGGACTGGGCAACCTCTTTTTTTTCCAATTTGTGTTGACTCCAAACCCCAGCAAAGATTTAAGCAGCACTATTGTTTCGGGCTTCACCAGGAAATGAAAAGGAAGAGCGATGATCCGACTACGAAGCTCTGCACAACCTATTGTGAATGATTTATTTGATAACTGGCAAGAGCTGAAGCTGAAAACACATCCTAAAGGCCTGGGTCAGCGTGGTCCCCCCTGGTCAGGTCCTGGCTCGGGGACAGGCAGACCCAGCAGCTGCGGTGGGAACCCTCATCTGCCATCAATGGGCCCCGGCAGGGGGGGCAGACCAGCATTTTAATTATTCACAAACTAAGATTCAAGATTCCCTAGGTGAATTCAGGCAGACCCGAAACCCATCCGCACCGGTGTAAGAGCTGAGATGAAATGTCATCCTTCAATTCTATACCTTTTATTTATCTGGAGAGTTATGAAAGGATTACTGCGGTGAATAAACTTTCCTAAGAGTATTATACTACAGGAAAAACACTGTGTTCAGAGACAGTGTCTGCAGCTAAAGCAGGTCTAAAGCCATTTACTGAATCATAGGATGATCTAGGTTGGAAGGGATCTCTCAGATCATTGAGTCCAAGATTTGAGAAGTCTGAAAAATATTGAGAAGTCTGAAAAATATTGAGAATATTAGGAATAAGAATGTACGTGCAACTGCCCATAATCCGAGTTAAACTAGCCTCTGTAAGAATTTTTATGCTATTGCAAAACCCCCAACATTTTGCTGTTCCATGCACTGCGCTTCGTAGGATCTTGTACCAGGAGTTAGTTGTTTTTGCATAAAGGAAGTAAAATCATAACCTTTGTCACAGCTACGGCACAACCAAAGGCTGATCTCAGCTCTTACCACATCTGCTGCTTAACAAAACCAGGATTTTTCCCCCCCCAACAGGTAGCAGAGCAACTCGCCACAGACTAATAAGCAAAAAAGCAGTTTAGATGTGAAAAGCCCTTCTTAGTTGACCCTGAAGAACTGGTCATGATGTGGGTATCTTTATTACTAGCAAAAAGATTGTTTTATTAAGCAGTGTTAAGAACTGCTCCTCCAACAGCCTTCTTTCTTAAAGACCACAGATACATTTAGTGAATAAAAAAGCTCTAGTTAAAATGCTGCAGCTCCAGCCTGTGGTGTAATAAAAGCTTCATTTTCCTGGTATGGCCATTCAAAATTTTAAAAGATTCATGTGCTTTGAAAAGATTCAGATCCAGTAATATTTTTTTCAAAGCAAGAGATGATTAAGTGGGGAAAAAACATGAATTGCTTCTAACTCAGCACCACACTTGGGGAAGACAGATGCTATGGAGCTACTGCCATTCCTCCTGGAGGAAATTTTCAGCAAGAACTGAATCTGAATGGATGAGAAGCAGCAAATTCTATCAAAAAAAAAGAGCAAAAACTAAATCAATTCAAAATTCTACGCAAATGCTTTTTTTGTAAGGTTAAAAGTGATCAAATTCTATCAAAAAAAAATGAGCAAAGACTAAATCAATTCAAAATTCTATGCAAATGCTTTTTTTGTAAGGTTAAAAGTGATTTCTCAGTTACCATTTTTTGGAGAGCATACAGGAAATTCCCTGCCAAAGCAGGGCAAATCTTAAAGTGATCCTGCGTTAGGAATCCTACCACAAGAGATTCATCAACAGATTTCAGTGAAATGTATCGTCATAAACCAGCATTCCTTAGTAATCTCAGTTGCAGTTCTGTGGTGTCTTTCAGAAACAACACAGCAGAGCTGAGTTTAGCTTTGTTATAAAAATCCAAAAGCTCCTATTCCCAATGGAGTTAAAGCCACGTGTCATTGGCACCGTCAGCTTTGCCCTGGTGAGCCCAGGAAACACCCCCAGGTTGAATCCACTTGGATATAGACTCTCGGATGGCTTAAAGATGGGGGCAGGGTGCATCTGTAAAAATCAGATCATTCAAATATCACGTAACCACTTTTTCCCCTTAAAAATATTTTCTAGTGAACAGATCGCTTAACGATGGGGGCAGGGTGCATCTGTAAAAAATCAGATCCATTCAAATATCACATAACCACATTTTTTTCCCCTTAAAAATATTTTCTAGTGAACCAAGAATGGAAAGAGTGATGTTCACAGTGTCACACTGGAGGGCAGTAACTTTCCGAAAGCTTTAGAAACCAAACCCAATTTGTTCCAATTTCTTCCAAAGCAAAAGGTTTAAAATATTTACCTATTTATTTCCCATCCAATTTGAACTACCAAAGCCACAGTCCAATCTGCTCCTCACCTGGGGACAGCCACGGTGCTGCTGGTGAGGCAGAGCAATAGCTGCCAGGGAGCCTACAGAACCCTGACAGGGGGGGAAATACAGTTAAAACACTGTTTCCCAACGTTATCTCATCTACGGAGAAACTTGACAACCTTCGTTTGAGCCAACTATAACAATTTATTTCAGCTACCAAAGATTAAGTTATGGCTGGAGGCAATTTACAAGCTGGAGCCTTCAATGTCAACAGTTTAATCATTTAAGGAAAACCCTTGACAGCGTTAGTGATATTCTAAAGAAAACTGAAAAATACAATTCAGAAGATATTTAGTGATTTTAACCAATGTAGGAGACTTTCAAGTTTTTATATTTCAGTTTATATTAAGTTCTGATGAATAAATATAACTCCTGTGTCATTTTTTCATTGTTGGGGTGGTGCAGGTGGTACCTGGTTCTGTTCCTGATGGAACAGCATCAACCCCAGAGCTCTTACACTGGGAGCATCTCCACCAGCAGAGACTGGACGGGGAGAGGCACCCCCTCCTACCCCCTCCTACCCCTTCCAGGGGGGCTTCACCCAATAAAAGGTGGAAACTGGAAGAATACAGAGTCTCAAATGTACTGCTGCTACCTGTCTCATGGCTATCAGCAATCAGAAAAATTCAAAGCTCATTTCTCAGCCAGTGAAGCCTGGGACAGGGTTAGTGATAAGGGAGTTACTCCAATTTACTTTGCCCAAAGAATGGCAGCACCCAGCACAGCCACGGTGGAAACCATCAGGAACACTGACTGTAAGGTAAATTAAAATGAAGGAAAAAGGAGAGAAGAGCCTTTATACCCTGCAAAATTAAAGAATCTGCTAATTGTTTTTTAATTATAATGATAAATAACGTTTCACAGCAGAATAAAGCCCCCCTGAGTGTGCACTGGCAGCGGCTCCGTCTCTGCGCTCGGAAAACACACACCCTCTGCCATCAGAGGCCTTCACCGGATAAATAGGGGGTGTTAAACTCTTCTGTTTGCGGAATTTTACTAAATGAGAGCAAGTGAGTGACTCTGACTGTCAAGTCTGGACAAAAATGTAATAAAGTAGAGAGTCATGAGCATTACTCTTCCTCCTGCAGGTATGATTAACTGAGCAAATACTAATAGCACAAGCCCTGCAGAATTAAGTCTCTCAGGTTTACATTCAAGCCTTCCCTTTAAAAAGCTTTAGGGCTAAGCATAACCCACTGCTTCTCCAGAATGAAAGGGGGGTGGTCTGGTTTTTTTCTTCCCTTTTTTGTTTTTTTTTTTCCTTCCCTGTTTTTCCTTCCCTTAAGTCTCTCAAGATTGCGGTAAAGAAGAGTAAACACATTCTGGTGTCTGGTCTGGTTTTTGCTCCTGCAGCAAAGAACTACAGAAACCCAGTTTGGGCCAGCATACTGCTGTAACTTTATTCCACATCTTATTTATTTTTAGCTTCTTACCTTGTCTACCAATTTGACGTTAATCCCTGACTGTTCGTGGCTCAGGATTTGGTGGAATTCGAAGTGACATAATTATGTGACGTGTTTGAAAGCTTCAATATTTAGTGAGCCAGGAGTTCCCAAACAGAAAAACCAGGGTCCTTCACTGCCTAACTCACTTTAGATTAGCTAAATAAATATCAGAATGTTGTTTAATGGGCTCCTACTCATAAAGGCCTGGATAGTGGCACATTTTCCAGTGGGTCCCCTTCCCAATGGCACACCATAACCCTGGCTGGCAGCAGGGAAACCCAGACCAGGAGACAACGGGACAGAGAAAACCTGATTTCTGTCTTCAGTCCAAACCACCACCATCCCCTCAAAACCAACTCACAGCAACAACCCTGCCCTCCACACATCTTCTTAATACCACCCCTCTCAAAAATCACGCTTTTTGAAAAAATTATGACACGTAAAGTTGCAGAAAGTGCACAGGGAGCGAGGTCAAAGCGCTGGAAAGGAGAAAGCAGCTCACCCACACCAGAGGCACCCGCCAGCTTAAGGGGATACTATAACTTTAAACTTTGTATTTTTTCAGGAAAAACAAAAAAAAAAGAGAGATGCATTGCTGGTTTGCAACAAATCACACACATCCCCACGTTTTCAAAATATGCCAAGATAATATTTATTAACACAGCAGGACTTACAGATCACAAAAGATAGTGATACATAGGAGCTCGTAAGGGCGTTATCAGAATAAAGCATGCAGGTCAATACTTGCAGAAGAGAGATATCAAAGCAGATCTGAGAAGGCACATTCACACAGGAAATGTTTAGTTGAAATTAGACATTAGAAAAGCAGCAAAAAACCTGAAGTTGGTTAAAATATACAGAGATCTCCATATAATGCCAAAGGAAAAAAAAAAGGTACTTTACAGATTTGCAAGTGCAGCAAATGGATAACCCTTTGAGAATACCCGGGCGAGGGTACGCTCTCGCTGCAACGTTTGGCAGGACACACAACAGATTAGGTCCATGTAACATGACTAGGTGCTACTTAAAATGTTTTAATTTTGGAGTAAAACGTAAATTTGGGTTAAAAGAAGCAGCCTGGTTGAAACTAACAGCATGCAGCCAGTGCTCAAAGGGTTATACGAAGTAAATGCAAGAGAAATCAGGCAACATTAGTATAATCTACCTTCCACAGAAAGAATTATAGCAAAGTTTAAAGAGACAGTATCCCCTTTGGAGAGAGCAAAACTCGAAACCTTTCTTCCCTCAGAGACCAAAGTCTATTTTATGGGAAGCAACTCAACAATTTCTTTCCAATCCCCAGTGTAAGCAACCTACCTGCCCATACCTGGAAGCTACGCAAGGTGAAATCTCAATAGCCAAAGGATAAAAACCTCCGTATGGGTATGTCAGAAAAAGTCAAATCATTGATCAGCACCTCTGTCCTGCTGCTGTTTCACTGGAGATGGTACATGGTGCGTGCAAACATACGGCTCCCCGGGACTGGCCTCCCATTTCTCAGCAGCGAGGACGGCAAAGGGATACTGTCCCTTTGGGACATTAGATTTACAGAGCAAAGAAGATTAAGAGGGGGGAAAAAAATATGTATCTATCTGCTTTTTAACTTATGTAAACTGGAAGGGAAAAATATATATCTGCTTTTTAACTTATGTAAACTGGAAGAAAAAAAAAAAAGGACCCAAACATCAACAGTTCATAGCTTGAAATGCATCAAACGTACAGAAGGGAACACATGAGCACAAAGTACTCGTAACAGAGCGTCCAGAGCACGCTCCGCTACGAGATCCAAACAGAGCTAAACGGAGTAAAACTCTCCCTGTGGAAAAACACCTAGCTTGGCACCATAGGAGAATACAGACTTGTTTAAGTTTAATAAAAATAGCTTCTAATTAATACTTCAGAGTTCAAAAGTTTAGCAACAAGCATATGATCGGCTAACCCCTTTAAACAAACCAAAAAAAGTCTTTCCTGCCACAAATGGCAATTATTAATCACTGATTTCTGTGGCAAAAGCTCACATCCTGTAGAAGAGCTACATAAGTCAAACTACCACCAAAAGAGGCTAGAAAAATATTAGGAAAAAGTGCTTTCAAAACCAAAGTAAACATTCAAGAATACACTGTAGGTGCTACGTTTTTGAAAGCCCACTCAACTTGGAGTTTTACCAAGCAGTAATATGAAAATTAAATGTCTTTGCTAATAAATTATTCCTGATATTTTGTACCCTGTTATAGAGTATCTTCCATGTCAAAGTTGCCAACTCAGTCTTCTCCCCTACTTAAAAATACCATATAATGCAAAATTACAGTACTGTGTATTTTCTCTGCCCGTATCTGCAAAACTGGAAGAAATATTTCATATGGAAATAACCAATTCTTGCAGTAACAGCTTTTACATTTACAGTTTGTACGCTCCCCCCCCCATTCAGAAAAGCCTTTGACTGCGTTAATACTTGTCGCTCGACCACAGTAATGGTTCCTGTATTATTGAAGGCCACAGAGCATTGAACTACGTCTTATCTTCTTATGTACATATGAAAAGAAAAAGCAGGACACTTGGGAAGTCTGGTTTATGATATGTGATCAGATCGGAGATGGTCAATTCACTCTCTCAGGACTACTTTCATAAAGGGAAATTAAAGAAGATGAAAAGGATAAAGTAGAAGTCCCAGGGTTTTAAATTTAGGTCCAAGAGTTGCCAATTACCAGACTAGCATTTACAGGCCCTCTGCAATTATTCCAGTGAGGGTTTTAACTCTAAAAAGTGAATGCACTACTTCTTGCTTGCAGTCCTGCACAATGCTGGTTACACAGATTAAGCCCCACCGTTAACGGGAATATACTAGTGTTGTTGATTAGACAGCTTTTCATTAACAGCACAAATTAGTGTTCTGCCTACCCTTTTAGAAGCGCAGAGCGGGTTAAGTCCTCAAGCCAAATGCATTGTTGAAACCAAGAGATTAAAGTGAGACTCTGCCATTCACCTCGCTAATATAAATGGAATGACATTGTTTGCATTAGAAAAATTTTCCACTGGAATCCCTTAAGTGACAATAGCTGACAGGTACCAGTAAGATGATGTTGTCAAGTCTCAAAAACAAACTGGCGTGGAGTTCAAACTGTACAATCTATTTATCTAAGACAAAAAAACAAACACGGCCCCACTAAGGGGCTGTTGGCTAGCGGCTGCACAGATTTAGGAGTCTTCCACTAGTGAAAGACTAGTGCATAATACTGTAATTTAGCACACAGAAGGACATGGAAACCCATCACCTACGTTACCAGAGCAATCTAACCAGTTCCTCACCTGCTGCTGGTGGATGCTGGCCACTAACTGTTGGCAAATCCAAAGAGCTATCAGACATGACATGCTTAAGATCTCCTCCCACATCAGCCAGTTTCATGTCAAACTGAACAGACAACGCGTCTTCAGAATCCTCCTTCCCGACGCTGCTGCCACCGATGGAAGGCAGATCCAGAGACTTCACCGAAGCAGAGTCTTCTTTGGCCTGCTTGAAAGCTGCCACTTTGTCCACCAGGGACTTATCCACGCTGTTGCAGGTGGAAGAGAACTTGTTAGAGTGAAAGTCGGCAAAATCATCGTCGCTCTTTACCGAAGAAAGCGCGTTGTCCTTCGCCTCCTCAAAGCCTGTTCCAGAGCCTTCCAGAGAAAGCTGCTTGAAGATGTCGTACTTGGTGGGGGTAGCAGGGGCAGCAGAGCTCTGCCCGCTCTTCGCCGCGCCGCCAGCAGCCGAGCCAGCCTGAGGAACGGCCTCCAGCTTCAGCGCGTTGTATTTGTCATCTGGTTTTTGTTCGGAAAATCCACTGCTATTGTTGAAAGCCATAAAATCTGCAAAGTCATCTTGTCCAGCAGCTGATGCGCAATTAGAAAATTCCCCAAAAAGGTTGAACTCTCCAAACTCATCAGCTAAGCTGGAGCTTTTGCCAGGGGCTGGTTGGGCGGTGGTAGATGGAAGGGGTGGTGGGGGAAAGGAGCCCGATTTTGCTGTATTAAACGCAGGTGGAAAGGATGGCTGCTTGTTTTCTCCAGTAGAGGAAAAGAGATCCAAGTCTGCTAGATTCAAAGAGGTCTTTGCTTGTGTTTGCTGTTTTGACTGAACGGGCAGAGAAGGGAAGGACGTAGGGAAGGTTTTGTCTTTTGTAGGTGGCTCTAAGGGTGAGATACTGTCAGCGGTTTTAAAATCTGTGAAACCATCATCGGTTCCTGCAGGCTTGAATTCAGCAAGGTTATCTCCTGAGAATACAAACAAGGAAAAAACAATAAGAAGACACTGCAGTGACAACAAATACATCATACCCACACCATGCAAGCACGCAAATTATTTCATGCAATGTCAGAAGGTTTTATGCAAACTATTTAAATTAAGACCTCAGGATGCATGGAGAACTGCAAACTCAACTTCTACAAACCACACGAGTTTCAAGGTCAGCGATTCTAATATTCATTCCAGCAAACATTTAAGTCTTTCAAATAACCTCAAAGTCATATTAAATTCCCTTTGCACTGAGTTAATATGAAAACACACCGTGACCAGTAGATTCAAAAGGAGATCAGTACTATCTCAGGCAAGTTCTTTTTCCCACCTCATCCTTCCCGTATTTGCTAAGCAATGAATGTAATCTTGAATTTCACTTATACCAATAAAGTATTTGCCTTTTTACTGAAGCAATTCTCTCCCTCCCTGACTTCAAAATATTGCCCAAATGCAGTTTCTTCATGGGGCATCAGCAGAGGGTTGAGACAGAAGGGGAACTCAGGAGGGACCACCCAGACCTGCCCGGTGGCTGAAGGTGTTTGGAGCAAAGCTCAGTTAAAAGACGGCAGCCACCAACCAGCCTTTCCAACTGGGCATGATGGGGAACCCAAGGGCTGGAAGAGACAAAGTCCCAGCCAAAGGAGAATGAAAGGCAGTGATCCTAAGGTGTTGGTTTAGAACGTTTTTAAGCTCTCGTTTTAATCTGTTGTGTTTTCCTTCTGCCAGGTTCACCTAAACATAACACTAAACATCGTGTGATTCAGTAAATGCAATGTAACTCCGGCATCTTCTGGCTTCTAAGACTGATCATGTTTTTACTGGCCAGCTTGGAGACAGACTTCCATGTGAAACTCAGCACAATTAACCATAAGATGTGAGATCTCTAGTCCCACTGCGTACCGGATGCAAGACAGTACTAGGTAAGGTTATAATTTGAATTTGATTAACCATTAGGTAACAATGTTTTCATTGAATTTACATTAAATATTTTGGTGTACTATTTTTAAGAGTTTCTTCCTGCTCATACACAAGTTTTTTTTTTTACAAAGCAATTTCTTTTGAACATGAAAAATGTTGTTTAACCCATTCACCAGCATGTACATACTTAGACTACTTGTAAATTTAAAGTATTGAAGCATACTTCAAGACAAGTGTCCAATAAACAGGTTTTGTTCTATTTTAGAAGTACACCATTAAAATTTAATTTATAAGCTACCACACAGTGTCATACATTAAATTAGCTAAACCAAGATTTTAAAAGAATGCTCTTTATAATGGTAGTAAAGCACCATGACTATACCTAACGTATTCTTCCCTTCTCCCTCCCCTCCAAATCAATTCCCTTCGCCCAGCAGCGATACATGAAATTGCTATTCAATGATCAAACCTAAAACATCACAGCAAACTAAACTTACTGATGAATTGCAAACTTTTCCATTAGAAATGTAAGCTGGTGAAAGGGTTAAGAGTGGTCAGACCTGGACAGCAGGCAAATACAGTAATTTTCAATATTTTAGAACACGTATGGACATAGATAAAATGTCATTTCATTTCATTGCATGCATTTAATCCTGAAGAGGTACCAAGCATAAGAACCTCACAAAACATTACAGGTGTTTCAGAAACTCAATGTTTGAAAAAAACACCTCAGTCTTTGAAAAATAAGCAGTAGGAGTGACCTCAGGTAAGCAGTTTTATCCTAGAATCTAAAGTCGTTTTCTAATAATGAACCAAAATGCCGGGTATAACATAACTCTGTGGAAGTCAGGTTAAGTTAGTAATACATGTATCTTCTCATCTATCTACTGGTAATATACAAAAATTAGCAGAGCTTGAGATTTTTTTTCACCCATCTGATTAAAAAAGATGAGATTGCCACTTATAAATGAGTTGTTTTCTAATAATGAACCAAAATTCCGGGTACAACATAACTCTGTGGAAGTCAGATTAAGTTAGTAACATGTTTGTCTTCTCATCTATCTACTGGTAATATATAAAAATTAGCAGAGTTTGAGATTTTTTTTCCCCAATCTGATTAAAAAGATGAGATTGCCACTTATAAATGAGTTAGACATAGACACAGATGGTCCTGGAAATGGCTTAGGGAGACTCTGCTTTTGGAACTGCACAGATGTAGCACCTCAGATGCCATCCAGGTTTTACTTTTTCTAATCAAAACCAATTAAACACAAATTTCAAAATAAGTAATCAGATTTATTCTTAGAGTCCTAGAGACAATGAAAAGTTTAAATTCTGCCTCAACAACAGAAAAGAATTGCAATTTGTCCAGGACCATCTTATTCTGTGTTCTAAGAATACGTGACTCCTTATTTCCTATCATGTCATTATTTTAAAATAGAAGCATCCAGAAGAGATGCTGATCTTCTAGAAGTACAATTTGTAGATTGTTCCAATCGTATATTGCACTATTTTTTTCAGGATGCTTCGTGCTAAGTTGTTTAAAGGAGCTGAAGCACTGTTATTCTAGAATTCTAGCAATGGAATTTCTGCAGCTTAATGAGAATTGTTAAAAAAAAACCAACAACACACAAAACCAAAAGACAACAGACCCCCCAACCCCCAAATCATTAGAGCATATTAAAACAGTTTCAAAACCCACACTGCTTACCTAAGTATTTGCTCTCTGCTGGTTGTTCTAACTCACGGAAAGCACTATACTTGTCTCCACCATCTAGAGAATGTGAGAAAATAAATCAATTTACATAAAGATATTAGGAACTTATTTAATAAACTTTACAGTGGCATAACTTCTGATTTTTTTTATATTAACATTTCATCAATGCTAAAAACAAGATAGATGAAATACTGCAATGCATTGCTCAAAGTGGATGCATGTTTTTCCTTTTACCTCCAAAAGTAGCTGTACTTTCAGAAGGCTTCTCAGCTGCAATCCCTTTGAACACAGCGTATTTATCAGTTGAGGCGAGCGTCTTATTACCTGGGAGTGGCATTAGTAAAGAAGGAACACTAAAAACAAAAAGAGATAAAAGCAAAGTTCCTCAATTTATCCATAAGAAATCTACGTGTCCAGGTTTTATTTAGAGGAGTCTCTTATTATGACTACACAATTTGGATAGCTAAACCTTAGTTTGTATCCTAGAGAGTTCTTAATCAAGAACCTGATTAAACTACTTCAAAACCTGATTAAACTATAAAGAATGAGAGTGTGTAAACAGGCAGCTGGTAACTGAGGGGTGAATTCACACTTTATCTCACCTAATCGTATTTCTCTACGCCAGAAGTCAATTTTCACCTTTCTTGATTTTAACTTGTACCAAAACATGAACAAAACACTCCAGAACTTTACACCACAGGAATTCTTGGCCCAGGAGAGCACAAAGCACACAGGAATCACTGCTGTTTCCTTTATCACTTCGCCCAGGGCAGCACAAGGACAATTCTCACTGATAGAACTAGATACAGTAAAGAGTTAAAACTGCCTGAGGTTTTGCCAGCTCCATTCTTTCAGCTTATCTACATTGATTATATTTCATTCTGTATTGCAAAATTAAGAGAACAAAGTGGAAGCACAGTTCAAAAGGAAGGATAACTCTGAATTTCTGACAGTGCAAATGGGTGAGTGCAGGTATGTATCTAATCAGCGGAACACGGATGAGCCCACAGTTACACAAGCAAATCTTTTTGCACATAAACACACTCTACTTTATACAGTAAAACTGCCATAAAAACCTAACACCCTGTTAGCAACTGCTGTAAGATTTAAAAGACGTTCTGCAAGAGCTTTGCTCGCCCTCCACACAAGCCCCTTATCAGACCTTGGCAGGTCTGGAGAACAACATCCTTTACATATGAATAATGCATTTTACCTCTAGTTTATGTCATTCAATCCCATGCACATCGAAAACGTGAATGAATTTCTATGGCGTTCTTTGGCCTGGAGCAAGAATCTTTCCCCAGCCATTTAAATCTCCTTATCAGCAGCCTCCAAGCAACACACAAACCCAGCGCCTGCACACACGTGCTAATGATGGTCTGGGATGCCTGCAGACAGGCAGGGCTACGGCAAGAAAATATAGCTTATGGTAACATAATTAAATTTCACATCACTGCAAAACAGGCCATTAGATATGCAATCTCAGCAAACGTAATGGTTAATCATCTGTACTCTACAGATGGCTTTTTTTTAAATAAAGCTCCATAAGCAATTAGATTAGAGCTCGTTGTAACATTCTGTTCAAAACTGAATGCTTTTACAACTGGATAAAGAGAACTGCTGCAGTGAAAAAGAAACACCGTTTCTAAATTTTTATTTATATTTTTTTTTTATGATCCCCTACTTCCCATTGTGGAATTTACGACGTTTCTGTTAAAAATTTCTGTAATAGAAAAGCTTTAATTGCAAAATGACATCTAATACAAATAAAGATATGCCTAAAATAGAGCATCTTCAGATGCACCTGGCATTGATTGACATCAGCAAAATGACATTTCTTACGCAGAACGCCGTTAGGCACCGTGTAACAGAACAAGTTGTTTCAGTAACTCCATTTGATGTCAGTGCTGAGGAAGGCACTGGCTATCACTGCTTACCTGGAAAGCGCCACTTCTATTGGCAACTAAGAACAGTCAGTTCAACACACAGAAAAGGTGCACGTCTACAATTAGACACCTGGGAGGTACATAAAAGTTTTGCCATGTGCAGTAAAAAGAAAATACACCGAAATTTTGCAATCGCAGGACTTTGAAGGATTAATTGTAAACTCTCAAAGGGAGTAAACACGCTTACTTGTTTACTTACACAAAATTCGCCTGATCTGGAATTACATCTTGGCAGTCTCCCAAAGGAAAAGCCAAGATTGCTGAAGTCTGAATGAGACTGCAATCGAGATTTAGTCAGCTATCAAAAGTTTAAGCACTGGCCAGAGAAACAGTAGAAATAACAAAAACCCTGGAGTTCTGTCATTTAAGAGTATGATGTTGTGCTCTTTGCATGAATTTTGGGGTCCATATTCAGTTCCCGAAGACAGACCTTGATGTCAGCAAATGGTTTCTATCAACTCCAACAAACACGGGGTCACACCTCTAATGGAAGCTCAACTCCTCTGTCCCAGGGTATTTTTTCTGAATAGCTTTATGTAAGATTTTTGCCAGAATGCACAGTATGAAGTAACTTTCGATTGCCTGTGCAGTAGCATAAACACTTAAAAACCTATCCCCATACCTTGTAAAGGCAATTTACCTCAGCATGATGACTAGATGCTAAAGAATGGCCAACCACCTATGGCACATCAAATGTCATTTTCGATTCAGAAAGCCTAATTGTAGTTGTAACAACCTTCAAAAGAAACTGTCAGAGTAGAAGTCAGGTGACAGAAGAAAATTACAGGCTAGAAAGCTACCCACAAAAGAGGAAAATATTTCATTTCTTAAAAGAGTTCTAAAATACTGAAGGGGTGGAAATCAAAGATCTACTACCTGCTCCTGTGCTGTGAACTGGCTGCTTTGGAGGAGGCAGCTACATCCCCTTGGAAATCAGTGAAAGAGTCATCGAGTGAGCCAGACTTTGAAGCATCTTGAAACTCCTGGAAGTCATCATCTTCTGGTTTTACTACCTGAATCACAAACAGCATGTAAATTACCATATTGTTGTCTTTTCAAGTTGTCACATAGCATGAAAGCAGGTCAGAGTAGTGCTATCAACTTAGGAAGGGAAAAAAATCAGCATGGTCAGTGTTTCTACTTCACGTGCATCTCATCCAACTCAAAACACAAGGTGTGCAGGATGATGAACATGAAGAACAGGTGAATAAGGAACTCTACTCCTTTCACATTTAAGTATTATTGAACATAATCTTTTAATACAGGACAAATATTAATAATTTAAATCAATTACTAATTTTAAATCAATACACACAGCAAAAGCATCAGAAAAAAACATTTTCTGAAGGGTGAACCATATTTGCAAACAATAAAATTTTATCCCCCAAGTGATTTAGTGTTGTAAATCAAAGGCTTTCATAGTTGTCAGCTTCTCCTGAAAACTCTGACTTATTTTATCAGCTAAGAGAGTCTGTTGTGTAGTTTAATCTAAAATGCCATTTTATGTGCATTACAAAATCCTAACTACAAGTAAAATCCTCTTGCAATGCAATTAGTCTGTTCTACCTCTTCTAATGCCACCAGAAAGAAGTGGAAAAAAATAAAAGAACATCCTTAGTGGCGTGACTTCATGTTTTCTGATATCACGTGCTAGATTTCAGCTTCAATTTTTTGCCGTTTACTTAAAGTCTGTTGTCACTACGTGGCTTTAAAAGAGCCAGGCTAATTCTCTTTCCAGGCCAAGGGAGCTTTGCCAGGGGGGAAGAGGAGGAGAGGGAGCTAACCTGGGCGGGCGGGTAGGACGGCAGGAATCCTGCAGAGGGTTGAGCTGCAGCTCCTCCCGCTGGTGCCGTGATGCTCATTCCCATCACGGGAGGCCCGATGCTGAGGGGCACGGAGACGGGCGGCGCGGCGGGCAGCAGGGGCTGCTGGCTCACTGCGGCGGGCAGCGGCATGGGGAACCCGCTTAAAGTAGGAACGGGGGCCGCTGGAAACTGGTTTAACACGTCAGGACTCACGGCAGGTATTCCTCTCTGCAGAGCAAAGCAAAGAGAAGCATATAACATCAACAGAAAGGCACGCGGCGCTCAATTCCAGTGTCTACCTTGTATTATCAACATCATGAAAGAGCAGGGTACTGGTCAAGCGTCAAGTAAACCTTCCAAAAGCAAAACTCACTATCAAGAGCCTGTGTAAGTGAATGGTATTCAACACCCGGACTGCTGGGGTTATAGAGGGGAACGATAGGATCTAGATAGATTGGATCACTGGGCCGGTGCCAATGGAATGAGTTTCAACAAGGGCAAGTGCAAGGTCCTGCACTTGGGCCACAATAACCCCCTGCAGCGCTACAGGCTGGGGGAAGTGTGGCTGGAGCTGCCTGGAGGAAAGAGACCTGGGGGTTCTAGTTGCCAAAGGGCTGAATATGAGCCGGCCTGTGCCCAGGGGGGCAAGAAAGCCAATGGCATCCTGGCTTGTATCAAAAATAGTGTGACCAGCAGAAGTAGGGAGGTGATTGTGCCCCTGTACTCAGCACTGGGGAGGCCACACCTCGAGTGTTGTGTCCAGTTTTGGGCACCTCAATCCAAGAGAGATCTGGAGGTGCTGGAGCGAGTGCAGAGGAGGGCAACGAAGCTGGTGAGGGGGCTGGAAAACAAATCGTATGAGGAGCGGCTGAGGGAGTTGGGGCTGTTTAGTGTGAGGAAGAGGAGGCTGAGGGGAGACCTCATCACTCTCTACAACTACTTGAAAGGACACTGTAGAGAGGTTGGTGCTGGTCTCTTCTCACAGGTAATTAGTGACAGAACGAGAGGGAACGGCTTCAAGCTCCAACAGGGGAGGTTTAGATTGAACATTAGGAAAGAATTTTTCACCCAAAGAGTGGTCGGGCATTGGAACAGGCTGCCCAGGGAGGGGGTGGAGTCCCCATCCCTGGCTGTGTTTAAGGGCCGTTTAGATGCAGTGCTGAGGGACATGGTGTAGGGGAGGACTTTGTAGAGTAGGGGAGATGGTTGGACTCGATGATCCCAAGGGTCTCTTCCAACCTAGACCATTCTATGATTCTATGATACCTGCCTGGGTGGGCAGAGGCATTTGACAGCACTGCTGTTTGGCTTTCAGTAAACCAGTTAGTAAGTATTGGCAATGCTATGCTGAACCTCGTGGGTGCTTTATCATCTTTCCTACACACCACTCCCACAAGGTCAATCAGCTTCAATCCTCTCTTCTCAATATACCTTAGTTATCATACAGACCTGGTATTTAGAAATAAACTGCTAAGGGATGACACTACACTGACAAATAAAGGAAGCCTAAAATAACACTTCACTGGTTCAGGAGAGAGGCAGCAAGCCTAGCTATTTGCAGACTAAAGGATACAGGGACCATATAGTTTGAGGAAAACAGATTTGTACAAAACAGAAGAAAATCAGCCAATATATTCTACTAGAAACACATATGCATGTCTTTGGTAGGTATAGCCAAGAACTATCTTCAACTGGCACTAAAGAAAGGAGTAACTGACACGTAAGTGCAGGGGATAAAATTATAATCCCACTGGAGTTACAAGGGGAATTTCCTCTCTGGATTTCAACAGCAGCAGCATTTCACTAGAGGCGTGGTGTGCCAGCCCTTGTGCCAACACGCCGTTGTGGCAGGTTAGTGAAGCCAACTGCCTTTCTGCAGTGATCTCTGAGCGTCCCTCATACCTGAGTCACCGCTATCATGGCCAGGACGGCGTAGAGCTCTTCCTTGGTGAGCTTCCCAGGGGTGGTGCGGTTGGCTAAAGCCCATATTTGCCCAAGAGTCTCTCTGGGCAATCCAGACGACATCAGTATGGGGTAGAGTTTAGCTGTATCTATTCCAGCAGGAGTCAAAGTTGTTTCTAAAATTTTCTTGTACAGCTCTGTTAAGAGGGAGTCAGTATTAGACGGTGGCAACTGCCGTTTTCAAGAGAATTTAAGATGAGTTTTCTATTTTGTCTCAAACTCAACATTATATTCAATTAGTGCCACTCAAAGTGGTAGGCAGTAAGGTAAGGCAAGAGCATCGTGGCATTGTATTTATTGTCACGTTTCATCTAAATGTGCTGTTGGAGGGTCTTTACAGACAAGTTTAAAACAAGCAAAGAAATATTCTATTTCTTTGCTCTATTTCAAAACATGTTTCATCAATGAAACTACAGGATAATCCAGAGAAAAATATCGTTAGAACAGCTTAATGTATTTAAATCTCAGTGTAATCAATATTTATTACAGCATTTCATTTTCTATTTACTATGTTATTAGCATATATAAGATAAATAGCCTTAAGAAATGAGTCTGCTTAATTACAAGACATGCCAAAAACCAGACTACTCATAAAAATGGCATTATCAGCAATGCAACCTCTACTAGCATAATCTTCCGTCATAAAAAATTCTAGAGGAAACATTTAACATGCTTGAAGAAAATCCATATTTCTTCAAATATAGATAAAGCCACCATAAACATGTAATGTATCGGACATAGGATTCATTTGATGACTGAAGAATAGTACTTGGATCAATAAATGGCAACGTAAGCACATGTACATTCACACCTTACGTTGCCCACTTTCTTTTTTACCTGGGACCAAGCTATCATTGTAAATCCAAGGGGGCATCATTTGCTGAATTGGGTCCTGCGAAGGGAATACTCCAACTCCTGAAGGTATTCCGGTCAGTAAGAAAAAGACAGACAGTTGTATTAGGATATAAGGTTCAGAGTATAAAGATCTTAGACACTAGATCAGTTGGTCAGTACCAATTAGCATTTCAGGCAAAGATTTCAGATTGGAATCACTGTGCTCAGAGGGAAAACAGCTGCTGCAGGAATATGTATTTCAACATAACTAGAAGGGTTTGGCAGTAACAGAAAGAATGTAGTTATATACATACAAAATAAGGAGCTCCTCACTTGCCTCCCTCTTAATTTCTAGTAGTACAGAAGCTCAAGTCTCTTTGTCTTTAAAACTTCCCAGCAGAAGTTCCATACCATAGCAAATTTAGTCTCCCCATCAACTATACGCTATTTGAGCTACTTGCGGAACAAATAAATTCATACCTACTGTAAGAACCACTACCGTGAGTTTAATAGTGAAAAGTTATGGCACTTCTAGGAAAGAGAGAGCTGCTTGAGAAAGTGCCCAACTCAATTATCTACAGACCAAGAGCTTTCTCCCCCTTCTCTGCCCCCTCTCAGCCCCTAGTAAAGCGAGATTACACAAAGGACTACGTGTATTTTTATCATCCTTGACTACAAGTGGAGCCCACGTTTGATGTAACCCTTGAGTACAACAGCAGAGCACTAACCAAGGTGCACCAGAGACCTTGCATCTATTTTGACTGGAATAAAACTAAACCAAACAGTCAATATTCAGTGTTAATAAAATCCCAATTGGAACTAAAGCTTGCTTTAAGTTTTCATCTAGTCCAGCTTTTGAAATGTTGATCCCTAACACATAGATAGTTTTAGAGGTAACACGTGAGTGGCAAATTGTCTGGGAAATAAGTATTAACCAGACACGAGTTCTAACCAAAGAAGATTTTATCCCATCCAAGATGAAAACCCACCATGACATTGATAATCTTTAGTAAGAGTTTCTTTACATAATTGAAAAAAAAAAAAATCTTTACAGAGCATGTATTTTTTTTTTCTCCCAAGCAAGAGGACAGAATATTTTAAAACAGCAGACCTGATTAAACAAACATGTTAAAAGTGATTACAGCAGTAAATTGACGTGGGAGAAGTCCAGAGCAAAATCACAGTTGTTATACTTTTAGCAAGGAGCAGGAGGCACTGACACATTATTCAAGCAGGCATTCAGAGCAAAATGATGCAGGACTGGCCGTAGAATTAGTGTACAGAGTGTTAGCATTCAAGCAGCATCTTATTAGATTTAAATTCTGTCAAATGTTGCATTTGCTCACCACACTCTTCAACTGCTATGTTTTGTTCTGAAGCCTTGTGCACCTCTGCAGCAGTGACACCACTTTCATGTCCACCTGCAACATCCCAGTCATTGATGGTTAGACTGGGATGAGCTTGGCTTGCAGCTGAGGCTTTGTGCCCAACTTCGGATGTTTTAAGTTTGGTTTGCTCTTGTTCAGATTCATTTGAGCCATTATCTAAGATTTTCTCCTCCAAGGAAGAGCCTGAATGAACAGCAGGAGGAATTATTTGTATTTTGTTATTAATCACCCAGACCACAATTCCACACTTCCAAAGGAAAGGTATTACTGGCACCACCGAGGAGTTACTGAGATGAGTATCTGTCCCAGCTCAGACCAACAGCACCACCCTGTGCAAACACCTCTACAGCCTGATTCTGCCCTTTACTTACCATGTGTTAACACCACAAACTCAACAAACAAAAAGCAACTGTATTAGGATTTTCTGTATTAGGATTACCGTTGCATAATCATCTTGGCATCAGTAGCAGAAATGTCCAATATCTACTTATACCTGCAAAATTCTTTGCGTTAATCCCACCAACATCCTCCAAGAGAGGAAGCATACAAGTGCTCCACATTAGCATAATAGTTATTTTTTTTTATACCACCATCTCAACTATATCGTTTTCTACTACACAGACTTAAAAAGCTGCTAGGACACAAGACTTAATCCTATACCACCATCTCAACTGTATCGTTTTCCACTACACAGACGTAAAAAGCTGCTAGGACACAAGACTTAATCCACTTAAGATCAGTCATAGGCATATTTAGCATTCTTTGGGTCCACACGTGACTTGCTTTTACAGTGCAGTTCTAAGGGAAGGAGCAAGGGGACTTCAGTCAGCTTTTCCCATGGATTGGCAAACTTCTACTTAATCCACATGTGACTTGCTTTTACAGGAGCAAGGAGACTTCAGTCATCTTTTCCCATGGATTGGCAAACTTCTACTTAATTGCCTACATATTACTATAGATTACTTCTTTCAGCCAGACAGAAAAAAAACCCAAACCCAACAAATTAACTAAAGACTCTGTGCAGCTCTATGACAGAAGGTGATACGTAAAAACCGATACTTTTAGAGTTACCTGTTTTATGGATATTGGGTGAAGATGCAGAGGTAGGAAAACAAGGAACCTGCCCAGTTGTACCATGCAGGATGGGTAACACTGGAGTCTGGGCTGGAGGGAGAGGCTGGAGCACAGCCTTTTCGGAAAGCAGTTGCCCAGCCTCGGGAGCAGAATGGAAAGGCTGAAAAGGCTGAGAGGTGGGTTGAGGCACCATTTTGGGGATTTCAACAGGCCCCTGTATAAAGTCACTAAATTCTTCATCATCGAGAAAAGCAGAGTGGGAAACAGATACAGCAGAATGGGATGATGTGGGATGATCTGTAAAATGGAATGAACACACAACGCAAAGTGATGAGGAAAAATGTTCATGGGTGGAAAGGCAGGAAAAGTGGCAAATACTAAGTGGTATCCATAGCAAAGGGGTGAGGGGAACCAGCGGCGGAGGCATTCTGTGACAGGGATGGGAAGAGTTGTTATTGTCAGCAAACAAACACATAAGGTAAAACTGAGCAGCCAGTTCCAACCACGCATCTTCTCTCCCAGGTTTTTATCATGTAAACACTTTGAAACTTGATTCCTCCACTGGCTTCGGGAAGTATTCTGTTTGTTTTAAACAGACTGGGTCAAAACAAATCAAGAAGTAATATTTCAAACTAGACACAATGAGGGTGTGCACAGGGAGGACATTCTTCCTCAAAGGAGTGGTTTACCCTCAAAAGCTCAATAATATATCATAAGATACCCAAGTGTACTTATTTGGACAATGTGCTGTTTGACCCCTTGCATAGTCACCCATTTTAACAGAACTGACGTAGAATGGGCAAATCTACAGACGACAGAAAATTGTCAGAAACCACCTGTAACTTCAAAAGCATCAAAGAGCAAATCCACAGCAGAGATAAACATTTTGCACAGGAAAAAACTTGTCTAGATAAGCTCTCCTTCAGGCTAGACACAGAACAAACTATACTACAACCCACAGGAAATCTTTTAGCAGTAATTGTTACAAATATAGTAATTACTGAGAATACAGAAGGCTTTGGTTTCACCATGCCCAGGTAACAGTACCCGAGTCAGCTCTTACAGTACACGTTACAATGTTTTGATCATTCTTAGCACTTCTTGGCTTCAAAAGCGCTCTGCAAAACATTAATTAATGCTTTGACTAAAAGAGAACAAACCTATTATCAATTCCCATGATATTTCACATATAAACACAGCACATTAAGCTTCCTTTTAAAGATTTCAAGTCTTCTAATGAAAGTTGGTATCTAATATCTCACCCTCATAACCTGACCAAGCAAAGAGTTGCTAAAATGACACTTTATTTTACAAAACATTTAATCCACTCACTCTGTTCCACCAAATAAAAACACTTCTTGGAATTACTTCCACCTGCTGAGGATTTCAAACATTAGAGTTTTATATTCAGCTGGAAGAGGAGAAAAACGACAAACCTGGCTTTTTTGGATGTGAGGCTGGTGTTGGGTGCATTTTAGCATCTCTAGAAAAACCATCTAAATTTCCTTTAATGGCTTCCAAAGCATCATCCCTGCTTTTTTCACCTGTCTGAAACACCAAAGAACACATTTTGAAAAATTCACAGAACAGCTCAATTTTCTTTCAATATCCACAGCTCTTCAGCACAGAGATTAGGAACGCCTGCTGTTAGATCAAACCCTTCTTTCTCCAGCAGTGCCTTCCCAAACCATTTCAACAATAACTCCCCCATTTAGAAAGCATTTATTTTGCAGACTACACCATAACAGCCTTTCTCAGTCTTTAGACATAGCTTTATGCACAGGAACCTTACTCAGCTATTTCTATTCTTGCAGATAAGAGCCTTCGAGCTCATTCCAAGTGTCCAAAACTTTGGTTGAATTTAACAAACAAGGCACCAAACATTTTCTATTCCAGAAACTCAGTCTGTTCCCAAATGTTACACACCAGGTTGGTTTATTTTTCAAAGTTGATTTCATTTTCAACACCAGACTTTGTTTACAGTACACCAAGAGTGTGTAAGGGACTGACTACTCCAGATGCTTTTCAAGATGTAATCTGATGTCTCATGTAAATTTCACGGTTATTTGCTTGTTGAAAGAGACCATCCTATTAAATGTTATTTAAAAAAAAAAAAACCTGAAGAAAAACACCCCCGTCATTATTTAGGACATACCTTAGGTTTCACACTGCTTAGGAGTCTCAGCTTTTGTTTCTGCTCTTCAAACTGGCGTCGTTTTCTTTCTTCTTCTAAGAATTTCTGCTGGTGCTCAAATCTCTTCCTGAAGAAAAATAATTTTAAAAAAATCCAAAAATTATTTTTCATTACAGTTTTCATGGCAAGCTTCTGCTTGATTTTTCCATTTCATCTATCTCAAATTCAGACCATTTGGTGTACACATTTCTGCTCCTCCTCAGAGCTGTATGACAGCCACTGCTAACTTCATCGGTGGTCTTCAAATGCGATGGAATGATCTCAACAATATTCTGCAACCTTACAGGGACTACTTTTTTTACTGTGTGGACCACCCCTCCAGACTACATCTCCCCCTTAGAAAAGAAGGATTTAAATAAGAATTTCTTAAGAGCTGGTGAAGTGTCACTTACTGTTGTTCCTCTGCAAACTGCTTCTGCATGTCAGGGGTGTACTGCGGGGCTGCCGGACGCATTCCCAAAAAAGAGGCCTGGCCCATGTAAGGCATTCCAGTCGCTGGCATTGGCGCTAAAGGCATGCCACCCTACAGCAAAATAAAGAATACATTTTATTATTTTTATTTATATTTTTTATGTTTTTTCCACAGAAAAAACAAGCCAAACCACTGGCAATTACGCTCTGCCAAGCTGTGAAGCAGACAGGTCTCCTAAAATTAGGAGTGTTAAGTGTAGCATTTTATTATTTTAATTTTTATTTTTTATGTTTTTTCCACAGAAAAAAAAAAGCCAAACCACTGGCAATTACACTCTGCCAAGTTGTGAAGCAGATAGGTCTCCTAAAATTAGGAGTGTTAAGTGTAGCTGGATGAGCAGTGCCTGAGCACCGAGTAGCTGTTTCAGAGCAAAGCACTGGTCACTCAGTAGATGGCACTCTTCCCTCTCAATAATGAATTGCAATTCTTAAAGGATTTTAGAAGGCTGGAAGGTTTCCTGGTCAAACACAAAAAAAATCAAGATTTCAGATCCATACAGCCTAGCTCAAGAGCAGGAAGGCTACTGGCATCCTGCGGTGCTACACGTGGGTCAGTACCATGCTTCAGGGTTTTCTGGGGGTTTTTATTTCCTATTTGAAGTGGTTGCATAATACTTTTCAATTCCCTGCTGGAGGTGCACACTCCCAACCAACAATAGATGCTGGCAAGATGTGCTCTAATCATTTCACAAACAAAGCTTATCCAGGGGGCAAGGGAGGGAGACAGCACACGACAACAGCCAAGAGGAGACTCGTCTGAATTACACTGCATCTCTACCAGAAACATTCACTGAGAAAAATTCTGGTACGGTTATAGCAGCAAAGCTTGCCTAACATGGCATGGACCAGAAAATAATTTACTTTTCTTACTATTCATTTGGTATTTGATATCAGAACACGTAGGAAGAGAACAAAAGCTGTTTATTGTTTTCAGACCAGTTGTCATAAAAACATCTTCCACTATAAATTTTACAAAATTAATCTAATAAACTCCAGGTGGGGGTGGGAAGGAAAGATACAATAAATTCAATTTTTCACATAGCAATTTGGCAACTAAGCCATGCCAAAACATTAAATTTCAGCAAAGTGCAAATTTGTTCATAAGCACATATGGCGCTAAATAGAAAACAAAAGATGAAAAAAGAGAAAACATAATTAGCTCCCCATATTTCATTCTTATTCCTCAATTAGCAACAGCAGAGTTAAAGACAAAGTTACTTTAAGCAAGAAAAAGAAGAAGAATGAAACACAGGAAGTAGGACAAATGGGAAAACCAGTCACGTGAGACAATACAGCACATTTAAGAGATTCCTTGCTCCCCAGAACAAAGTACTTAGAAAGTTCATAAATTGCCACCTACACTCAGGAAACTTAATTCTATTAACTCCAGCATTTGAGTTACAAAGAGATAAAACAATTCAGTGAGTTGGTCATGATCAATCAGGTTGTGTACACAGTCACTTCTTATCAGCTTATAAAGGTCTCATTTAAAATACTACACAATACATCACCTTAACGTTAGGTACATAAAACCAAAGCAAAAGAAAAAGCACGAAGGAAAATTCAAAAGACAGAAGAGGTATGTTGTGGGAGTTTTGAATTATAGTTACTTAACAATTGAATACTATTACTAACCACACTTGGAGTAGGTGGCATCTGGTATTTTCAACATCTTGCTGTTGCTTTTGCTTCCTTTCCTGCTCAGAGACCACACTCCTCTAATTGCACTTTGATGTCACAACACATATGATGAAAATTCAGATTCTGATATATTTGAATTGCTTATAATCTCCATGTTATGTTAAATATTACAAGTAGTGTCCTTGCACTCATTTCTCTACCCTACACCAGTGAGGAATATATGCCAAACTCCCCCGCTGTTTCTATCCACATCCCAATGAAACCTGGAGAATTCTTTAAATTATCAGAAATATCTTCAAAGAGAACATTATAAAATATGATGTCCCACTATGGACTAAAATACACACACCTTAATTTCTAGCCAAGTTCTGCCCTCTCACCCCACTGCAGATGAAAGGACTATGACATCAGCTGTCACCTTTCAGACAAGCACTAAATTATCTCCTTTAAATGCACATTTCATTGCCACGCACCTGCATGGCCATGGGTCCAGGCGGCATCTGAGAACCATAATTCATTCCCATCATGCCAGGCATATTGGACTGCATGACAGGAACCATTGGAAATCCTTGCTGTTGCATAGGAATCATCCCTACAATGAAACATTAAACAAGGTAAGCTCCCAGTTAGTATTAAAACTTTTTTTTTTAATGTTTTTTCTTTTGTTACTAAACGAGCAAAGCAAAGGGAAAAACCTCCGTCTTGCTGGACTATTTAAAAAATAAAAAATATTCGACGCTGCAGCCAGCCACAGAACTTCTTTAGTTTAGATATTGGAAGAAACATTAGTGGGTTTTCCCACTAACTAAGCTGATGAATTCTCCCACCATCCTCAGGATTCTCTGTGGGTTTCTTCCCGTCTGATTTTTGAAAGGGTCATTTCCAATTAACAAGATTTAATTAACCACACTGACTGGTGGTGATAATTGCCCATTTCTCTTGAAAGGGAAAACTCACTAACCGGCAGCTTTGGACGGTAAGTCTTGGGAAATAAACTCATAATTTCACAACTTCACGCGCTGGTCTGGCTGGATAACCTGTCTGTAGGTTAATTACCTACATATGGGAGACATACACTAACACACAGTTGTTACCAGAACACTGTGAGATAATTACAACTGCACATTACTGAACATCACTGGCAAAACCACTCCAGGAGGGACGCGACACGCCCAGGAATAATCCATAAATCAAACCCTGAGATTTTTATAAGAAAACATGAGATAATTATAACTGTGTATTACTGAACATCACGGGCAAAACCACTGCAGGAGGGACGCGATGCGACACACCCAGGAATAATCTGTAAATCAAACCCTGAGATTTTTATAAGAAAACTCTGTTTTCACTGCAAGTTCTCTCTGTATTTTCCATTAATTAAACCAGAGCTGCAACAGGAATGAGAACAAAGGTAATTTAAGGCTGAGGCTCTCCTATTGTATTAATACTTTCCACACAGGTTGTGACTCTTGTCCCAGGGTCTTGCTGTGCTTTGTAAATATTTACCAGGTCTTGCAACACCCACACAATATGGGTATACACAGCTGGTAGATGAAGCATAAAGAGGTTAAATACCACGCTCAAAATAACCACAAAAATCTTAAAGGCAAATTCAGGCTAAAAATGGAGATGTAGTTTTCCTAGATCTTTAATACAGCATTCTGGTAATGCTGCTTCTTCAACAATACAGAGAAAGTTTTATTGACAGAGTTGTGAGAGTCATCTTACCAGTACCGAATTCAAGGGGAAAACCAGCCACGGAGTTCAATTAATAATCATGCTTCTGAGCATCAATGCAGAACTATTTTAAGTTGTTTAATGTATCTAAATAAAGAACTTCGTGCTCAAAATGTTGATACATACCTTGCGGGGGGCCTAGACCGCCTGCCACAGGAAACATGAAGCTGCGGGAGGAAAACAAGAATACATGAAAGTCTATCATTTTAGTGCAAATACAAATGACTGAAAAAGCTACCTCGATTTGCATGTCAGCACCACCCCACAAAACCTCCCACCCTCCCATCAGTGCATTCATCTGCTCCTGCAGGTCTCACAGAACCCAACCCAACCACAGGAGAAAGGCCACTCCTCCCAGGGATCCCCCAAAGCACCGGAGGGTCCCACCAGCACCGTCACAGGCTGGAAAGCTACGAAGAAATAAATCTTATTCTCCACAGCAGCACTAAAATGGCTTTGACTCATCGACATCACCCACAGGAGTTTCGGCACCTACGCAGGTTGGGAACAGGTCAGTTTGTTAGTGTAGGCTGGGCCTTCAAGCACTGCAGAATGAATAAGCAGCTCCTGGTGGAAGTAACTGATTCAGCGAGACCATTAACTGCACCAGACAATAGTTCTCAGCTGATTACCAACAGTTTTCTGCAGAGAAACAAACTATCCACCAAACCCCACCGCTTCTGCATTTTTGTCCCCTCTGAAACATTAAGTATCCCAAAATAACTGACTTTCTACTTTCTCAATTAGATCTTATTACAAGAGAAATAGTGCCTTGGAAAAAAATAATCATTCAAGTATCAAGGGCCAAGTGCACCTGGAGGAAGGGCTGTTAAAATTTCAACTGAAATCAGAATGGAAATTGCTAGCTCTCGCTTTCAAAAAGAACCATGTGCTGTGCTGCCAAATGGCAAAAAAGGGACCTAGTTTAAAAGTCTCATTTGCAAGCAAGTCTCAGAAACCCACATCAGCAGTAATTTACCAAACAAGAACCTGACTCAGTGTCCCAGGCAGCTATTACATCAAAGTACCATGAAAGAGAGACACACTTATAGATATTCAATATTCCTCAGCACAAAAGTAGATATAAAAGAAACTGCGTAAGAGTAAAGGAGAAGACGCTACCATAAATGACTGCAGACAGTTTTGCAAAACCTGCAGGAAGTTCCAAAAGCCAACCTGGCTTATAAATATAAAAGAGCTGTGTAATATGAGTACAAAGATAAAATAAGGAATTTAAATTATGCATTTATCCAGGAGCAAACTGCACCTACCCACTATACAGACAGCAGGTTACACGGTCACCAAGACAACCCATATTACTCTTCATTTCATCCTCTAACTCAGAATCTTCCTAATACTGAAGCTGCTTCTTCTACCCTGACCACTATGTGCTAATTTCTCCTTCCACAACCAACACACACCCGCGCTTTCCATCAGGTCCAGGTCTCATCATCCTCAATCCCCACAATTTTTGGTTTCCCTCTTCGAAGCGCTGTGCAGACACCTGCTGCCTCATGGCAACACAAGCGCTGGGCTTCTCTGGATCGGGGTCAGTTCAAGGGCTGCCTAACTCGGTCATTTTTAACCCATTTGTTAGCATACAAATATTAACATCATGAAAACAAACAGCTGATTGAAAATCACAGAGGGACTCACAACAGAATCCTGGTCAGAAAAACTATTTTTTCTACTCAATGGCTGAAGCCCAGTGAATTAACTGGATTTTGGCTGCGTTTGGTTTCACCGACGGAAATAGCTGTTTTGCCCATGAGGCTGTGAGTACAGAGTGCTCCTCAGCAATATACCCTGTTAAAACATGTAACTTCAGATGTGTGGAACTTCTGCCATCAAAAGACATCATTCTTAATTTAGTCAGAATGATGAAATATTAAAAGTTATTTTTTTAAAAGTTCACAAGTATGGAAAAGTATCTTTAGCTTCATGTTTTCCCTTCTTATTGGGTAATGCGGTCAACAAGAATTCTTCCAAATCAGCAAATGTAATGTAAACTGAAGAAGCATAGCAAGGTACCACTGCTTGTTGGAAGCAAATAAAGGCCAGACTATTAAATATTTATCCTTTTCCACAGAGCTCCTGATTTATTTATAAGTCTCTGTTGAAAAAAAAAAAAAAAAAATCAACAAAAAAACCCTGCAGCTAATTAGAGGGCACTGGAAGAGGAGCTCGTTAAAAGTAGCAAAGCGAGCTCCTGCGGGACAGCACGGATTCATCGCTCCCAGGTTCAGCTGTGCAACTGCCAGCATCAGCCACACATGCACGTACTTAAACCCCATCAACTTACTTAGTCAAGCAACAGGAACTTCACTTCTAAACTACTTTTCAGAGAGGCAAAAGAAATGCCCACACGGACCTCGTTAAATTCCCATCGCTGAGAAAAGCAAGCTGAGCACAGTCATTCCTACATTAACTGGAGCACTACAGAAAACCATCACACTTGATAAACTATGGAGTGACAGCAGCAACATCAGAAGTAGCTTTCTTTCTCTTAAAGAAAACATTTTAATTCCGTTTATCTCAAAGTAACAACACTGACAACAAAACGGACAAAATTAAAACAGAAAAACATTTAAAAAAATAAAAAAGATGGGAATAATAAATTAAGCCATTCCTAAGGAGTAGTATACTACCTGGGGTCTAAAAGAACATTTACAGCAGCTGTGTGCTCTAAAATGACCACTTTCTGGACAATGGAAACCTTTATGACCCCAGATGTTTAAAATAGATAGATTTGTTTGTTACTATTAAGCATCCTATTTTAATATAGTTTCTTTACTCTTTTTTTTTATTTCCACAGTGGATTCAAATGCACCTGCAGACACTTCTGTTGTCCTCAACAGCAGAAGCACTTTACCTCCCAGGTTCACACAACTCACTGTAATACTTATGTGTGATACACTGCACAAAATGAAATAAGGAAAATGAAGCAATTACCATACAAGAGTAGATTCCTATCAGATAAATATTTTAAATATGGAGCTTCAAAAAAACCCCAAACCCTAAGCAGACCAACCAATAGGTTCAGTCAAAAGGCAGGAGCATGGGGAAAAGCAACTCCTTCTCTGTGTTAATCCTTCACTATCAAAGCTCCAAACTACACATAACACTTTCCTATCTACAAGTGGATTTTTAAACCCCTTAATTCCCAATCGGTACAGCTCTATCAACACAACATAGACTTGTCATAGTATTTTTGAATAGCAGAAATCCACAAAAAAATAAAAATGAAGTGAGGCAAAGAACCCACACAGACCCAGAGGACGGAACTTTTCCTCTACCTTCAGACTTCATTCTCAAAGAAACCAAAATACTAACAATGGGAAACAATGATTTTCAAATGCTTTTAGTTTTCAAAGCCTATAGCTTGCTGATGACATTTTTGATACTTTCCCATTAAATTGCTGAGCAGGCAGTGCTGCTGTAAGAGGTTAGACTGTTTATCTGGCCCTCACAAGAACTGTTTCAGATTTATATCCGTGGGGAAACACAAAGGTAACTTCCCATCCTTCCCCAGCATGCACAGGCAGACGTGAATGCTTCAGCTTTTCTCTTCCCAAGCATTCCAGCCCCCTGGAATGCCCTTCCCCAAAGCACAGCAGCAACCTGACTCTCGGAGCCGATGGGGACACCCCAGCTCGATAGGTGAATGTCACCCCCACGCCAACCCCCCCACATCCTCACGCTCCCAATAACACCGACAAAACTCGAGGTTTCAAATATTCACGACAACTCAATGAACTTAAATTCCCTTTGTCAAATGCAGAATTTACCCAGCCTCCCCAGAAGTAGGGCAACAGATAAACAGCACACGCAAGCCTATGTTAAAAAAAGAATTACTAAGTCTTCAAAGGTTGCGAAACAGAGCTCCCTAACCTTTCCAAAAACACAACGACCTGTTCACGCATCCCATTTACTCTTTCTTTTTCCTGACTCCATTCCTCAGTCCTCTCTCTTTGCTGAAGTGCCCTTTGTGGGATGGAGAGGAAAGAAAACTTCCCACAGTAGCAGCCACAAACCTGGCCAGTGGCGATAAGCAACATTTATTGCTGCCAACACCAGCGGCACCCAAGCAGGGCTGGCGAAACCCCAAAATCCTTTCCTACCCCAGTATTTGAGATATTTGAGATTGCGGCTGCTGAGCCTGATGACAAGTGGGCTACAACTGCCCAAGCCCAGAAGAGCCGGGGGATAAGGTGGGCTCCCAAAATGTAAGTACATCCCAGCAAACTGCAGAACCGCCACGGCTGTGTCCCCCACACCCTGCCTGGGACCCCTGCATTCCACCTGGGACCCCACACCCTGCTTAGGAACCCACATACCCCACCTGGGACCCACACAGAGAGCCCAGGATCCCACACACCCCACCTGGGACCCCCACCGCTCACCCAGGATCCCCTCACACCACCTGAGACCCCCACACCTCACCCAGGATCCCACATACCCCACCTGAAATCCCCCCAACCCGTTAAGGACCCCACATACCCCACTTCGGATCCCCACATCCCACTCAGGACCCCACATACTCCACCTCAGATCCCCACATCCCACCTAGGCCCAGACCCCTCTGCCCCCACATCCCACCCGTGCCCCAAACCGCCACCCCACGAGTCTCCTCCTCACCTCTGTCCACCTCATCACCCCCCACCTCTGCTTCCCCTTCGTGTCCCCCTCAGTCCCTCCATCGCGCCCCGATCTCTGCCCCCACACCCCCCACCCAAAACCAGATTTTTTTCTTCCACCTAATGTGAAGAACCCACTCCCACTGCCAAGTGAAATTAAACAGACTGTTAATACAAACTTCTTCTAAGCAAGACTCAAATATATACCCAAGAACAGGGAACACTCTCAGTTTTCATAGGCAGGGTATTTACTCTTCCTCTTGTACAGCAGATTTGGACAACAGTTTAACATGTGTCACAGAGAAGTCTTTGCCCTAGGAAATTTTGAGTCTCTGACAGAACACACAGCTCAGTTCAGTAGAGAGCACAACATACTCTGTTTCTCCAAAATACCTTTTTAATGAGCTCTCTCATTGCCGTTAGTTTTCCTGTCTCAGATCCAACGAACAGCAGCTCTTGTTCTACTGTCTCTGCTGCAGAGTTTCTGAAACCACAAATTCAGCAGGTGTGCCACCATGAGAGTATATTTATAAACACTAAAACCCATAAAATTTAATTAGAAATATTGCACAACAGACTTATTCACCAGTACATACTTTTAAGATTAATGTTTATTTGATGATAAAGTAATGGGTAAAGGAAAACAACACTTTCTCCACACGTGAGAAAGATCTCTTATGCCTACACATTCTTTCCTGGAGACAAACAACCAGCAGCACTAAGACTAACAACAGACACGCAACCAAGCAGACTGATGATGCAAAAGCAGCAAGTAATTTGTCCAAGAAAGAAAAAAAAAGCCACAAGAGAGTCAGAGTACAACCGTGCACTGACCTTGCTCCAACGGACACCAGCACGACGCTGTCCAGGTTGAGTTTACACCACTCCTCTACATCATGCGCGAAGGTTGCACTGAACAAGGCTCTTCTCACCACGTGGGAGGTGCATGCCAGGAAGATGGAAGCCAGCTGATCCCGGAACCCCGACTTCCCATCCTCAAACAGCTTGTCTGATTCATCCACCACCAGCCACTCCACGCTAGAGACAGAGAGAAGGCAGAAGGTCCAACACACCATCACGGACACAAGGACTACACACACCCCCCCTTTTCAGCCACAAAAGCAGTAGTGAAACCAAATTTGATAAAGACTCCTGGTACCTGGTCAAGTCTATTGCTGGAGGATCTTGTTTCAGCAAATAAATGAGTCTGTTCGGAGTAGTAACTAGTATATCTATTTAAAGAAAAAGTGTAAAACATTAAAAAAGGCACAAAATAAAGGAGACTAACAGAGCCCTGAGAAACAAAAGTTTCAATCCAGGCTCCTGGAGGCACAAACTAACAGGATCCACCTCTGGGCTCACTTCCTATCTCTCCCATCCAGCTACTTGTTTAGTGTTGAGCAACAGATTGCACATCTCGAGTGCTATTAACCCATCTCTTCAAAGCCACACAGGCGGCCCAGCCCCACAGGGAGCGGCCGCGGCGGGAGGACGCGACCGGGGACGCGCGCGGGGGCGTCGGCGGCCTGAGGGGAGAGAAGGGCCCCGCCTTCTCTTCAACAACGCTTGTAAAATCGAGCCCACGCGTTGATAAAAGTCAACTTCAGGCACCGAAACAAGGCTTTTTTCCTTGAAAAAGCGCCGCCCTTCCAGCCAAACGTGAAGGGGCGGCGGGGCTTCAGAGCCCAGGCCTGGCCTGAAGCCCAACAGCAGCTTCAACCCCTCAGATGCTGCTCTACAGGGCCCCGTTGAGGGCACTGGAAGTAGTAATTTGTTACACGGTAACCAAAAATACCTCAAAAAAAGCCCAAAACCTCAGCAGTATTGTAAAATAAGCACTCCTGATGAGGTGTGGTATGTGGTACTAGGTGGTCATGGAGTTGTGCAGAAGCAGCTCCTCTCAGAAGTCCCACTTGCTAAAAACCACCAGAAAGCGTGGAAGTCCTGAAGATGGTCCTTATCCTTGGGCAAAGAGAGTGTTCAATGTGACAGCTTTCCAGCTTCACAGGAGAGTGAATCCTGAGAAAAGCACTACTTAAACTTCTCAATAAGCATCTGCTTGGCGTCAGAAACCACATTAAAATCAACCCCAGCCTGAGAGAAAGAGCAAAATAAAATTTAAGCTCTCGTTTTAAAACTAAAGTCCCTCAGAAAGAGAACTGTGGCACCTTCTTTTAGCCCAGGGCAGTATCTGCCATCAACATCTTGCAGCAGGCAACATGGTTATTTACCAGAACGCATGACTGCATTTTTACTAAAATATACAACCCAATTTGTTCACAGATGTCAAAATGAAGACATTATTTCCTATATAACCCAAATATAAGATGCAATTCAGTCTAGCTCAGGAATAAGCAAAACAGGATGCAGAGTCCTCATCGATTTCTCACAAAATTTCACAGCAATTAACAGTGCTCTCCTGTAAATTCGTTATGCAGACCCAGGATCCACTTCCAAATTGGATTAAATATGACAAAGCAAGAAGACAATCCTGTAGAGGAACGCTTGCTTAAAGGATTAGAGTTGCAAAGGAGAAGCCATTCCTGTGTTACCGGACTGAGAACACAATTAGCAGATGAGGAGGTGGAAAATGCATGGAGTCTGGCCTTTATGGGCAATGGACTAAGGAATAATGGCCTTGTTTATTCTGCTTTGAGGCTTAAATATGAAACAGTACAAAATTCTAGAGTTTGCAGACATGTAAAAGTACCAGTTATCTCAAAATGATTTAACAGAAGCAAAAAAGTAGGACATAAAATACAAGTGGATTTGTGGTTTTCTTTTAATGTGTCCAGGGAAGTCAAGCCTAACAGCAAGATTTGTGTGTTTTCTGCCACTGAATCTTCTGGAAGTCTGACAAACACATTAGGGATGATCTTAACACAGAACTGACAGGATTTCCAAGGAGTAATATAAAACTGCATGATAGCAACACAAACGGATGCTATTTTTGAACTATTGTTCAGAAACACAAGGCATTTACTGCAAGAGCACACTCTTCAGCTTCTATAAGAAGCATTCAGGGATCCCTGCTACTGGTATTTTGGTAGAGACTTTCTTGCATGTAAACGTCCATCCTCACCCAGAAGGAAACATAAGAAATACTTTGCCCCCTTCGCCATTATTTTCATTCTTCTGTTCTTCAGCACAGATGTAGGTGTCAGCCCCAGCTCACCAGCAGCCTGTTCAGCTTTTTGGAACAGTCTGTAAATTACTGCCATTTTTATCTTCTTTAACTTTCTTTTTTTCCTTAATATTTTCTTTCGTTGTTTTCCTACAAGAAACACATTGGAAACCAAGACACCTGAACGTTATGTATATAAAAAAAGATGAAGTACAGAGCAGATATTGACACTTAAACTTCACCATCACTAAAATTGTTATGACTGGAGGAAGGTTTCTGGGCCTTTTCTGGATAAAAGGCACCTCTTACCTCCTCTTGAGAAAAGAAAAAAACTTACGTTTTTCTTTTGCCTTTTTTTAAGAAGCACTCGGGGGTGGTACGAATGGATTCTCTTTTCAATGGTTTCTTAATGAATTTCTTCTTTTGTTTGCTGGGAGTGATATGTAGTGAAGAAAGGTTAAATTACTTAAAGGGCAAAAATTAGTATCCAAAGTAAATAAAACAGATAATTAAATCCTTTAACAGTTGTTAGATATTTATGGGTCTGAATGTATTTTCAGTGTTGTCTAAAATTCCTTTTGCAGCTGAACTGCAATTCTATTGCAACCAACTAGATCTTTTGTAACCCACCCAGCACTGCTCATGCAGGCCTTTAAAATGGGAAAAACTGGTAAACTACTCAAATGAACATACCTCTGCAGTTTGGGAAGGTGTTTTATGTAGTCGGGCACGGGACAGCCAGCTCGCTGGATAACATTGGCAATACTGGGAAGGAGAAGAGGGAGGAGATTAATTCTGTCAGCAAGTGCTTAGACAAGAGGTACGCATCTTCTGTGGAAACAGCAATCCCTAGCAAATGGCTGTTTCATTGTTGTTATTTTGTTGTGGTTTTTTTTTTTTCAAAGCAAGAAATATAGCACACTATACAAAACACATTTTTGCTATGTTTTCAATTTACCTCCGTAATAAAGGTTTATCATCTTCTGTAAAGAAAGTGACTGCTTTTCCTGTGTGTCCTGCTCTTCCAGTGCGACCTGTCAAACACAAATTTTGCAGAGTAGAGATTTTACTTTAAATATCACCTATTACTCTATTCCTTTTCACAGCCCCAGCCTCCCGATGTGTGTGTGTTTTGTTGTGGTGTTTTTTTAAAAGCAAGAAATATAGCACACTATACAAAACACATTTTTGCTATGTTTTCAATTTACCTCCGTAATAAAGGTTTATCATCTTCTGTAAAGAAAGTGACTGCTTTTCCTGTGTGTCCTGCTCTTCCAGTGCGACCTGTCAAACACAAATTTTGCAGAGTAGAGATTTTACTTTAAATATCACCTATTATTCTATTTCTTTTCACAGCCCCAGCCTCCCGATGTGTGTGCCTGAAGCATTTAAGTATTTAAAGTTCATAGAAGACTGACAAAAAGTAATGCCATTTTACTGGAAATTGAGCCCAGATATAAGCTGGCTCGAATTCTGTAGAAGCCAATGAGGCAGCAACGGAGGAGGCCTGGTGTCAGGATTTTTGCTCGTGCACAACAGCATCTACATTAGAGATCTAGGAAATGAGAAAAATGTTGTAATATGTGAACAACCACTCACCTATCCTGTGGATGTATTCCACCGCGCTTGTTGGCAAATCGTAATTGATGACCATATTCACCCCTTTGAAGTCAATCCCTCGAGCTAGTAAGGCCGAGCAGATGAGCACCCAGATCTTCCCAGCTCTGAAACTCTGTACTACGTTATCTCTCTAGGAAAAGAAAAAAAAAAGTACTTGGAAACAGCATAAACAGCAATTTGAGAAAGAAGGTGAGCTTGTGTCCTGAAACTTGCCATGATATTAACGAGTAAAACTAAACCTCTACACAAAAACCTGTGGTAGTTCACTGTCAAAGGTACCTGAAGTTACATTAGAAAGAAATGTAAAAGCAGGAGTGTTATAAAGCATATATTGAAAAGAAATTCTTTCCTCCTACCTGTTGCTGAGTTTTGTCTGCGTGGATGACATCCACATTGATGCCTTCGTAAATAAGTTCATGGAAAAGCTCTTTGGCCCTCTCAATAGACTGTACAAAAACAAGGACCGGAGGAGCAAAACCCTGCAAAAGAATAATTTTCTAAGGTTCAAATCCTTTTCCTACCTTTATTGGTTATAGTCACTGAGTGACTAAAGAGACTTAACCAGCCCCAGCATTTTCCACCTCAGAGGATGATTATTTTTTTTTTGACTTAGCCAGATCTTTGGGAGTCAGAACTAAACAAACCCAATTCCACTGTCTTTGATGGAACGGTTCCTAACTTCAGCATCAGGCTGCATTTTAACCCCAAACCAGATTTTTTTCTTCCACCTAATGTGAAGAACCCACTCCCATTGCCAAGTGAAATTAAACAGACTGTTAATACAAACTTCTTCTAAGCAAGACTCAAATATATACCCAAGAACAGGGAACACTCTCAGTTTTCATAGGCAGGGTATTTACTCTTCCTCTTGTACAGCAGATTTGGACAAGAGTTTAACATGTGTCACAGAGAAGTCTTTGCCCTAGGAAATTTTGAGTCTCTGACAGAACACACAGCTCAGTTCAGTAGAGAGCACAACATACTCTGTTTCTCCAAAATACCTTTTTAATGAGCTCTCTCATTGCCGTTAGTTTTCCTGTCTCAGATCCAACGAACAGCAGCTCTTGTTCTACTGTCTCTGCTGCAGAGTTTCTGAAACCACAAATTCAGCAGGTGTGCCACCGTTAGAGTATATTTATAAACACTAAAAAACATAAAATATTACCTCGTGAATTAGAAATATTGCACAACAGACTTATTCACCAGTACATACTTTTAAGATTAATGTTTATTTGATGATAAAGTAATGGGTAAAGGAAAACAACACTTTCTCCACACGTGAGAAAGATCTCTTATGCCTACACATTCTTTCCTGGAGACAAACAACCAGCAGCACTAAGACTAACAACAGACACGCAACCAAGCAGACTGATGATGCAAAAGCAGCAAGTAATTTGTCCAAGAAACACCAGTACATACTTTTAAGATTAATGTTTATTTGATGATAAAGTGATGGGTAGAGGAAAACAACACTTTCTCCTTTTGTGAGAAAGATCTCTTATGCCTACACATTCTTTCCTGGAGACAACCAACCTGCAGCACTAAGACTAACAACAGACACACAACCAAGCAGACTGATGGTGCAAAAGCAGCAAGTAATTTGTCCAAGAAAGGAAAAAAAAAGCCACGAGAGAGTCAGAGTACAACCGTGCACTGACCTTGCTCCAACGGACACCAGCACGACGCTGTCCAGGTTGAGTTTACACCACTCCTCTACATCATGCGCGAAGGTTGCACTGAACAAGGCTCTTCTCACCACGTGGGAGGTGCATGCCAGGAAGATGGAAGCCAGCTGATCCCGGAACCCCGACTTCCCATCCTCAAACAGCTTGTCTGATTCATCCACCACCAGCCACTCCACGCTAGAGACAGAGAGAAGGCAGAAGGTCCAACACACCATCACGGACACAAGGACTACACACACCCCCCCTTTTCAGCCACAAAAGCAGTAGTGAAACCAAATTTGATAAAGACTCCTGGTACCTGGTCAAGTCTATTGCTGGAGGATCTCCAACCTGCAGCACTAAGACTAACAACAGACACACAACCAAGCAGACTGATGGTGCAAAAGCAGCAAGTAATTTGTCCAAGAAAGGAAAAAAAAAGCCACGAGAGAGTCAGAGTACAACCGTGCACTGACCTTGCTCCAACGGACACCAGCACGACGCTGTCCAGGTTGAGTTTACACCACTCCTCTACATCATGCGCGAAGGTTGCACTGAACAAGGCTCTTCTCACCACGTGGGAGGTGCATGCCAGGAAGATGGAAGCCAGCTGATCCCGGAACCCCGACTTCCCATCCTCAAACAGCTTGTCTGATTCATCCACCACCAGCCACTCCACGCTAGAGACAGAGAGAAGGCAGAAGGTCCAACACACCATCACGGACACAAGGACTACACACACCCCCCCTTTTCAGCCACAAAAGCAGTAGTGAAACCAAATTTGATAAAGACTCCTGGTACCTGGTCAAGTCTATTGCTGGAGGATCTTGTTTCAGCAAATAAATGAGTCTGTTCGGAGTAGTAACTAGTATATCTATTTAAAGAAAAAGTGTAAAACATTAAAAAAGGCACAAAATAAAGGAGACTAACAGAGCCCTGAGAAACAAAAGTTTCAATCCAGGCTCCTGGAGGCACAAACTAACAGGATCCACCTCTGGGCTCACTTCCTATCTCTCCCATCCAGCTACTTGTTTAGTGTTGAGCAACAGATTGCACATCTCGAGTGCTATTAACCCATCTCTTCAAAGCCACACAGGCCACAAGAGAAAGGTCAGTGACATTTTTTAAGTTTTCAGAAGCACTTCAGTAGTTAAAACAATTACCAAACTTCTTAGAAGACTTGGGGCCAAACTTCTTTGCTGCTTCAGCTGCCTTGTGGATCATATGTATTCTGAAGCCTGTCCCCTCGGCCAACTTCACCAGCTCCCGATGCGTCTGAAAAGGCAGCAAAAGGAATGGAATTTTTCAACTGAGCTGATTAGCTTTTTTAACCAGAAAAACTGCAGACAGTCCTGAAGATGCAGCTTCAAACATCACCCCAAACTCAGTGTTAAGAGAAAGATGTCTAGGTTTTCTTAGCATAATAAAATGCAGCTTTCTAACATGTATTATTCACTTGAAAGTTCTCCCAGGTGTGACTACCAAATCTTGACTCCAGGGATGTAGCTCCCAAAGCCCCCTCTCCTATTTGAATAAAAACGGAACTCTGCCCAAAATTGCAATTTTTATTTCAGTTTAATAACAAAGCTTTAATATAACGTTATTCATTGAACTTCTGTGTTTAGGACAAACATATAAATCCCTTGTAGCCATCTCAAATACAAAGGTAGGTATTAAGAGCACCTGAGCACTGAGCAGTTTTAGAATTTGATCAAAGAATCCCGAGCCTCCAATCTAATTATCTAAATTAGATTGAGATGCTAAATATGTAGCGATTTCACAGAAGACAAAAGACTTACAAGAAACATTTAAATTAATTTTTTCTGATATCTGAGGATCATAAAGGAAAAAAATATGTATTTACTACCTGCTATTTTACTGATTCAGAGTGAAAACTTTGAAGTACATGAATATAACAACCCGTCTGCCCCCAGCACGCACCTGGCTAGCGAGCTCTCGGGTTGGTGATATGATCACAGCTCGGAAGCCTTTGTTCCTGGGTTGTTTCAGATGTACTAAGAGAGGAATACAAAACGCCAGGGTTTTTCCAGACCCAGTAGGAGCTGAAGCTAGAAGTTCCCGACCCTGTAAGAAAAAACCAAGAAGGGTGTTACTAGAAATAACAAAACAAAAAAAATCACATTCACGTAAATATTAATGCTACAAACCAACCCAAAATACATCAGTGAAAGCACAGACCAAGATTATTTTAATGGCTAAGTTTTGAACTCTGATGCAGTTGATATCTCTTTAAAGCTGCACAACCAACCTCTCCCGTGACCCTGACAAGAGACAACTCTGCAAATTTTGCCACATTCCCCATAATAAAATGAAATACCAGGAAACATACGTGAAGCATGACAGGAATAGCCTGCATCTGGATTGGTGTCGGGACCCGGAAACCAGCAGCTTGAATGTTCTCCAATATTTTAGGGTGGATTTTGTATTCATTTTGAAGTTGCTCAAAAGTGGCAATTGGGTCGGGAAGATCTGTTCCTTGGACACTGATCCTGTGTTGGTTTCTGAAGTGGTTTATCTAAAAGGCAAATGACAAACTCTTTATTACCATAAATGAACCACATTTTTCTGATGAAACACCTGCAGGAACGAAGCAATCTGTTACATATCAGAATTCCATGGTCCCACCTTCTGTCTTCGCAAGCGTTCCAGTTTTTCTGCAGTAGGTTTTTTGTCTTTGGCATCTTCCAATTTTGCTTCCAGAGAGGACATCCACCTTATTCCGTTGCTTCCTGACAATTCCAGCAGTGACGCTGCTTCTGAAAGTTTCCAAAATTTGAAATTTCCGTTAGTGAAATCCAAACAAAAATTATTTGATAAAAAATTAACATCTCAAACCCCTTTTCCTCTCATTCTCACTGAAGTTAATGAAGAGATCCCCACACCTTCACACCCAATCCCGGCCCCACACCAACCCCATCCCGGTCAGTGATCACAGATCCCTGCCCCACAGCCAGCCCCCATTTATACACTGAGCAGGACACCCACAGGACAGAATATTCCTTTGTCCTGGCTCTGCTTCCTTCTCAGCTTCTGTGGGAAGCTGAAAAAGCTCTTGACTAATATAAACATCACCCAGCAACAGGAGAGCTGGGGAGAGACTCTTTGCCAGGAGGGGTAGTGACAGGACAAGGGGTAACAGTTTTAAATTGGAAGAGGGGAGATTTAGGTTAGATACCAGAAAGAAATTCTTTCCTGTGAGGGTGGTGAGACACTGGCCCAGGTTGCCCAGAGAAGCTGTGGCTGCCCCATCCCTGGAGGGGTTCAAGGCCAGGCTGGATGGGGCTTGGAGCAACCTGGTCTGGTGGGAGGTGTCCCTGCCCAGGGCAGGGGGTTGGAACTGGATGATCTTTAAGGTCCCTTCCAACCCAAACCATTCTATGATTCTATGATATATAAATACCTCGTGTCTTTTTCTTTTTCCTTTTCCCATTGCTGCTTTCTGCGGTCCTTTTTCTCTTCCCTGCCACCCCTCCGTCCTCATCCCCTGCTCCATCCTCCTTCTCCTGCTCCTCGCCAGCCCCTGCCAGCCTCCAGCTCTCTTCGGCAGACCCCGGGGGGGCTCCCTCCTTGCGCCCGAAGAAGTCGAGGCTCTCCAGCGAGACGCTGCCGCCGCTCCCTTTCATCACCTGAGTGAGAGAGCAGGGAAAACCGCTGAGATCCAGATCCAGGCCGCAAACACCAGGCCGCAGGTAGGCCCGGGGTCCCGCCGCACAGACGGGACGGCGGCCCAGCGGCCCGTGTGGCGGAGTGAACGGGACCCACCTCCCTCTTAGACTTCCCCCCCGGCAGTACCGCACCCCAAATCGCCGCGCATCTCCCCCAAAACGCCGCACGTCAAAGCGGGCACCGGCCCCCAAGCGCCGAAACAGCTCCTGAGCCTCCATGCTGCCGCCCGCCTCCCGACATGCCCCGCTCCCGGAAGTAGCGAGTACTTCCGGGGACGCGCCATGGGGTAGGGGGTGTCATGGCGCCGCGTTGCCATGGCAACCGCGCCGGTAGGCTCCGCCGTGTCGCCCTCCTCTGTAGGCCGCACCAAACTCCCGGGGGCACCGGGAGGAGCCTCCCCCATGGGAGAAGTCCCGGGGGGGCTCCGGGTCAGCGGGTGGCTGTGGGGCCCTCCCGGCCGGAAAGCTGCAGTTACGGGGGTCTGGAAGCCCCCGGCCGGGAGGGCCCCACAGCAG